CTGTGCAGTCCCTGGCTAGCAGGGTGATTTTTAGGTTAATTCTTAGGTCCTACCACCTCTTGGGAATCTCCAAGCTGTCTGTCGCTGCCAGACCGCAGCTCCGTGTGTCTCCTTTTTTGGTATTTTCACGCAAATTCTTCTGCTAGTTGGGGTTTAGTCCACTTTTGTATCTTTCCCTTTAAGGCTCAGGGGTCCAAGATTATCTTCTGTGTTTGTTAATTGGTTTCCCTTTTCTTTGTTGGAGAGCGTCTGTGCAATCTTTCTGCCTAGTCCACCATCTTGCCGGAACTCCTCCAATAGGCTGTTTTGACTGCCATGGCTGGTATAATTAATTTTTTTGATGTTGAGATGTTGAAGTTTTCTATAAATTTTAGAGATAATTCTCACATTGGATATGTCATTGCTAAATATTTTTTATAATTTGTATAATTAATCCCTTAATTAAATAATATTTTGTTAACTATATTAGTAGCTTCTGAACTGAGTTCACCACAGTATACTTTTTTTTCCCTCCTACACAGTACTGTCAAGGTGTTGTGTTTTATTTTGTGTATGTGTGTATTTTAAGGAAATGCTAGCTCAAAAGTGTATAAACTCAGTGCCCTTTCTAGGGCATTCTTGGCTAACTTGACATTCTCATCTTTTCATAATCTGGCCATGTTCTTTCTCTCTAGACTTGTAAGTTTATCCAGTCTGTCCTTACCCTTTTGCCAGTCATAAGGACACTGATGCCTGCAAACTGTCATATGTAACTCTACCTTTGCTTATGATTTTTGCCTCTACTGAAATGTCCTTCCTGTAATCTCAGGTTCTTGGCAGTCTACCCATTCTTCAAAATCTGTCTCATTACAGTCTCCCTAAACCTTTCTAGACCCATCTTTCACAACCATAAACAAAGTGTTTTTTTACCTCCATCCTGTTGTTTCTGTCATGTGTAATTATTGGTATTCTTTGTTTTATTTAGCCTACTCATTTATAAATTTCTTGTGATCAAGGATGTGTATTACTTGTCTTTGAAGTTATGTCTGGCAGGGCAAAATGCCAAACATGGGAAAGATGTTCACTAAGTGAACTAAGTGGAAATAAACTATGGCAACATACTTCATTTGAGAGTCGTCTGAACTCTACAAAGCCTCTTATGTCATACTTGTTTTATATGTCCAATATCTAGCACAGTGCATTGGCAATTAATAGGTTTGTTGAACTGATGAGGAAAATATTTTAAGTTCTTAGTTTAACTCGTATTTTAGGTTCAGGGAAAAATTAATACGTTGGCTTCAAAGCTTAATAAGGGGAATTCTTTCAGTAATGTTAATTGTTGGTGTTATGTGCAGTTGAGTCAGACCCGACTCATAGCAACTCCTCCTTAGGTTTCTGAGGCAGTATCACTGCAGAAGTATATTGCCCAACCTTCCTTCCGAGGAGTGGCTGGTGGGTTTGAACTGCCAGCTTTCTGGTTAGCAGTTAAGTACCTTAGGCACTATGCTACCAGAGCTCCCTCTTTCGGTAATACTATTTCTTATTAAAGTTATGAAAAATAAGGTGTTGATATTTGATTGGAATATTAATAATTAGCAGAGAGTTGGTGAAAAAGATTTTTAACTAGGTCAGTAACAATATTTTTCCTAAAAACATGATTGAGATCTAGAGCTTTTTATGGTTGAGGATTGTAATCGGGGCCCCGAAACCAAATGTGCATGAACTGTTGAGAGTAAAATGAATCTGCTTTGTAAATTTGCACCCAAATCACAATTTGAAAAATGGGGGGTAGGGAGGTGGGAAACCATGATTGAGAATTTTGTTTACCTTGCAATTAATAGAAAATGCTGTGTGTCTGCCTTATGGTGAGTAATAATAAAGCAGGTACAATTTCTTCCTCTCCCAAACATGCAGGTTCTTGTTAAACCTTTGGGAGACCGAGGATTCCTTTTTCTTCTTTCTCCTTGTCAGATGGTTTCTTCATATGGTAGGTGATCTCTCTCTTTTATCCTTTTTTTTTTTCTTTTAACTTTTTAGCTAAAACGCATTGCTAACAAATCTGGCTTCTGTTTTTTAGAATATCAGACTGTCAAGTCTCGAGTCCTACATGCATTGTTTCTATTTCAAGAACCTAGAGGCATAGTTCCTTGTAAGTTCTTTAACTATCTAAACCTAGTTTCTTATAGAAACCAGCATTTTATTGAAATTATCTAGTGTGTTATCTTTATTACATCATGGTTTGGGATTAGAAATATGAAACAGATCATATGACTTGATTTTTTTTCTTTAACTATGAGAAACATATTTGGGTTTTATCAATACTTTTCACTAACAAACTTTGTAATTGTTATAGTGCTTACAACTCACCTGAACCAGTTTTTCAGGGTTTTGTATGATTATTCTTTTTATTTAATTTTTGCATTCAAATTTCAGTGATTATAAAGCATTATGCACTAGGTTAAATATTAGGACATTCAAAATTAATAAGAATTTTGGGCACTGATTTCAGAGTACATTTTCTGTACTCCATTTTTAATAACTAACTTCAAAACCACGTTACATTCCCATTAACGCATTTTACTGATGGATAAAGGATGAGATTTTCAGTGCCTGCATATCTGCTTAATCAGGAAGAGCAATCATGTGAAGTTACAGTTCCTGTACCGTAACAGGGAACAGTAACTTTGCCATAATTTACAGGGCTGTCTTTCTAGGAGCCTCAGATCTTGCCTTGCCTCTTTATTTCTCTTGCCACTATTTGATTGCCTAGGGACAATAGAGAATGAAAAAATTCTTCAATGAGTAGTGCTTTTCTCTTTTAAAATATATCCTGCTCTTTGATTTATTTTAGTTTCATGTTGGCCTGTTTTAGGTTCCTGGGTTTACAAATAATGCTCTCTATAGATTTATTAGGAGCTCTGGTAGCATAGTGGCTAAAGCACTTGACTGCTAACCAGAAGGCTGGCGGTTCAAACCCACCAGCCACTCCTCGGAAGGAAGGTTGGGCAATCCTACTTCCGTAGTGATAACTGCCTCGGAAACCCAAGGAGGGGTCGCTATGAGTTGGGGCCGACTCGACGGCACATAACAACAACAACAACGGCAATAGATCTATTATCTTAAGAGATGTGTATTAATGTACACATTAGTTTGGTACACCATTAATGTGTGAATATTGCTCTACTTCTTGATAAAATGTAGATCTGTATTTGATTAGTTCCGTGATTACTAACATGGTTTGCTTTTTCTTCCCCCCAGTGCAGAAAGGTTCAACCAGTGCCGCACCACAAGAAAGGCATGAGAGTGTATCAGATGTATTAAAAATAACTCAGTTTTTACAGTTTTCTTTGATTCAGTGTCGAAAGGAATTCAAAAATATAAATACTATAAATTTTCATTCTGTTGTTGAAAAGTATGTAAGTGAATTTTTTAAGCGAGGTTTTGGTTCAGGTAAACGAGAGTTTATCATGTTTCCATATGATTCACGATTAGATGATAAAAAATTCTTATACTCAGCTCCAAAGAATAAATCCCATATTGATGAATGCTTACATACCTATATTTTTCGACCTGAAATGTATCAGCTACCTATTTGTAAATTAAAAGAGCTTTTTGAAGAAAATAGGAAACTTCAACAGTTCAGTCCACTTTCAGATTATGAAGGCCAAGAAGAAGAAATGAATGGTACAAAAATGAAATTTAGAAAACGAAATAACTCAAGGGGTGAAATTATCATATCTGGAAAGCAGAAGTCATCTCATTCTTTGGATTATGATAAGGATAGAGTCAAAGAATTGATTAATTTAATTCAGTGTAGGAAAAAAAATGTGGGTGGGGACTCTGACACAGAGGATATGAGAAGCAAAATTGTCTTGAAGAGGAAGCTTGAGGATCTACCAGAAAACATGAGAAAGCTTGCCAAAACCAGTGATTTATCTGAAAATTGCCATCTGTATGAAGGTAAAATATCAGAGTACTTCTTGCTTATAATAAAAAAACAGCAATAAAAAAAAGTAAAGTATTTTGATCCTTTCCCCTAGTTACAGGGATATGCAGACTGTAGCTCGAGTGCCAAATCTAGCTGTCACCTATTTTTATAAATAAAGTATTTGAGACATAGCCATGCCCATTCATTTTTGTATATATGGCAGCTTCCATGTCACAGTGGCATAGTTGAGACAGTGTATGGCCTACAAAGCTTAAGACATTTATTGTTTGGATTTTACAGAAGTCATTTGTAATCCCCTGCCCTATTATATCAGATTTCTGAATCATTTGCCTTAGTCTGTAATTAGAATATAAAGTATATTCACCTATTATCCTACTAATCAGAGTACCTTCCTTGTAGTCCTTTATTTTTGTATTTGGAAAAGTATAATACCGAATGTTGAGCTCTTACTGGATGTTGCCTAATGAAAGCAACTTTCTCAGCTTTAAAAGTCACTTTCTTACATGCATGCACATTCTTTTCAGCCCCAGGGATATCTTTAGCTTTTTCCTTTTTTAAATTTACTGTGTTTTGTTTTAGTGGACTGTTTGATAAAAGTGAAAATTGGGATACTCTTGTTTGTAAATGTGTTTGTTTGAATATTGCAAGTACTGTAAAACATTATTCTCGTCTAGCCATTTACACATCTAGTCTTCACACTGCTAATCCATAAGGATGAACTCTGTTCTTTTGCAAGCCACATTTTCTGCTGCTGTTCTTGCTCATTATGGCAGGTCTGTGGATTCCTTCATTTCTTTCTAAGCAAATTAAATGTGTGTCTCTGACTCGGTTAGATTAATGTCCTTACTACATTTTTGTTTTCCCAGCAGTCTGTATCCTCAGTTACTTTTCACTTACTCATTTTCCTTTACTTCTGTTTCTCACTATCCAGTTTAGAAGCCACTAGCCATTGTGGTTATTTAATTAAAATGAAATAAATTTAAAAGTCATTTCTTGCTCTGTAGTAGCACACCATGGTATTGGAGACCATTTCCATCATTACAGAAAGGTCTATTTGACAGTGCTGGCTCTTCACTAATAATCACGTTTTTCTTAGCATGTGTTTTTGTCTTTCCAATGTTATCTGTGTCCAAGTTCTTACCTCCTGGGTGGCCTTCCTGACTTACTGCTTTCTTTCTGTCACATAGTTTGGCATCAAGTTCTCCTCAGTACTGCTTTACTCATTTGCTACCAGTCTTATCTTCTGTACTTAACCTTTCAGAGCTTTGTTATGAACTGGCCATGTTCATCGTGTGTGGGCATGTTTTCTGGTCCTCTTTCACAAGAGTCTTGGTCAGTAAGGCTCATCACTCTCTCCCCAGAATATGTCAGGGTCAGGCATTTTTTTCCTGCAGCCTCTTCTTCTTCTCTCAAGGCTTACATCTTTGCAGTTCAGAGTTCCCTTCAGCTTTCTGACTATTCCTTGATAGTCTCCATTTCCTTTAGTCTTATTTCTCATTTATGCTGAACCTGTTTATGCTTATTGATTCATATCTTATACTATGATTGTTTTATTATGTACTTGCTAGGTGTTTTACGTATTACAGATACAGTTAGTTCTTGTTGAGTGGTAGGCATTATTATCCTTATTTTATAAATGAGAAAACTGTCTTACAGATATTTTAAAGTTACACACTTAATGTTTGCATTCATATTTGTACTCCGTCATGACTGTCTCCAAAGCATTCTTCTTGAACTCTGTGCTGTATTTCCTAGCACTGAGCACATTGTAGGTACTCAGGAAGGAAGAGACTTAATTTTTGATACTGTTTTAGCTGATTATTGTCTAATTTTGTCTATGTGAAAAAATATTTGTAGGTGAAAATCAGGCTTCATTAGTAATTAAAATTGTGTGCAAGCCATACTAATTTTAATAGACCAAAGGAGAAATGAGGTGGGGCAGCAAGTGTGGCTAGGTTAAACTAGAACTAGTGACTACATTTCTAAGTGTTCTCTAGTGGGTTTGCATACTTTATGTCTGAAAGAGGAGATTTAAAGATTTCATTTGAACTTAAAATACTTTGTTGATTCAGTGGTGAACCCACTCATTTTATAAGAAGTAGCCGCCTCCTAACCCTTCTCCTTTTTTTTTCCTAAGGTCTGTGATGGGCACAGATGTTTAAGTTCTCAACTGCTAGTAAAATGTTGATGGTTTAAACCCATCAGAGATATCTTGGAAAATAGGCCTTGACAGTCTGCTTCTAAAAGGTTGTAGCATTGAAAGCACTATGAAGCAGTTCTATTTTGTTCCCACGGGGTCACTGTGAGTTGGAATAAACTTGATCACAACTAACAACAATTTATGCACAGTAAAATATATCATTTTAAGTTCACAGTTTGATGATTTGGGGCAGCTGTGACACCACTGCAAGATAAAGACTACTTCCTGCACCCCAAAAAGTTCCTTTGTGTTTCTTTATAGTTATTCTGATCTCACCCCATCACTGATCTGCTTTCTGTGTAGATGAGTTTTTCATATAATTAGAATCCTGTAGTATGTACTTTGTTTCTCTTTTTTGCTGTGGTGTATTACCTCTTTTTTAAATTGGAAATCCTGGCATCTCCCCAGGCTTTACCCCCTTAACCTTCCCAGCATTAAAGCATATTACTTTCTGATGTCTATACTTTTTACGTGTTTCTATGTATCTGTTGGCTTTACAAATTTGGAGTTCTTTCATAGTGTTTTTGGTTCTTGGTGCAAGTTTGGCATAGATTTCTTCAGGATGGTTTTGCATCTCTAATATCCTAGCTTCAATGTGAATGTAAATAATCTAGTCACTGAAGATACGGTTTAGATTTAAAGAATGTTGACCAACTGCCTTAAGGACAAAATATGACAGGTATAGAGGAGATAGAAATCAAATTAAGTTTGGGTTAGTTTGAGTGACTTTAAGTGTAACTTTCACATCCTTCTAACAGCTTCATTTGTTGTCAAATATTAGGTTGACTTTGGAAGTTTGGTTTTAGAATGTGAAGTAACTACAGTATAGTTACTAATGTGTATTATCCATATTATACACTTGGTGCTTGAGGTCATTTTCTAGTAATAGAATTTTAAAATTATGATGCAAATAAGCTCTCATTTAAAAGGAATTTTGACATGTGCAATATTTTATAAGCAATTAAATTTGTAAAGTAAGGGATGGACATATTTATCAAGTCTAATAAGCCAGTCAGTGGCTTGGTAGCATTCTTGTCCACATATACTTTATAATTTTTTAGGTATATTGATTTTTGAAATTTTTATATTGGCCTTGAGATGGCTTTTCTTTCCTTTATCCTCACAGAGGCTCCACAGCCTGTTGGCTCATTCATCGGTGGTCCTGGGCATGATGGTGATTTAAGACGGCAGCAGCAAGATACTGGTAACTCTGGCGTTACTGACATCCATAGGCTGTTTAACTGGTTGTCAGAAACACTAGCAAATGCACGTCATTCTGATGCACCCCTGACAGGCACAGTCAACAAAGCTTTAGGATTGAGCACTGACGATGCCTGTGAAGAGCTGAGGCAAAAGCATGAATATGAGTTGAAGTCTGTGCAGGATAAGAAAGAGTATGAGCGGCCTGCTTGTGTAAAAATTGAAAATGTACATTTTAAGGGTACTCAGAGCCCACCACTAGAAGTTGATACATCATCTTTAAAGTATCCTGTTGGTGTTTCTACTAGTGAAGGAGGCACTGACCATAAACTACATTTGAAAGAAGTAAGCATGTCTATTGGTTATCTTAGCTTTTGTGAGTGTATAGTGTATATGTGTGTGTGTGAGAGAGAGACAGACATGTGGTTGTGTTCTGTCGATTGTTTTTTCCTTTTTATAAAAAAAAACAAAACTTTTGAGTAGAAGTTTCTGTACAGAATGTTCCTTCTAGCTTATTTGTTGTTACAAAATGTTAAATGCCGAAATAGTTGTTTTTATTCCTGTTTATAGGATTTACCTATTGTGATAGAAGTTAGGAATTAAAAAAAAATCAAAACAACTAAACCCTCTGCCGTTGAGTACAACTACCGCAGAGGGTTTCCAAGGCTGTAAATCTTTACATCTTGTTTCATCTGAACTGGCTTATTTCATAATAAAATTAAATCCTCAAAGCATTGGGTAGTCTGCTGCACTAACATCCCAAAGATGAGGCAAGGCAACCAAGGTCAGTGTAGCAGTGTTTTAAGATTAGGTACTTTTTATATCTCATGCCAATAGGAATGGAAAAGGAGCAAACTTTAGGATAATTGAAGTAACTCATCTTCGCTTGTCAGGGCATCTAGTTGGTTTATGTTATGTGCTTAGGGTAGCCTCGTTTCCCCCAATAAGTGGTTGTATCACTAGGCAACAGTACCAAGATGGTACCATATTCCTAAGGGCTTATTTCTGATTTATTATTTTGTTTTTTCTTTTCTGCCTTTGAATAAATGTCTTATGCATGTTCCTGACCTTTCTTTCTGCAGTTTTGGAACATGTACTTTGGGGGGAGGATAGGATGATGGCAGGAGGCTCACTTGGGGAAGTATCTAAGGTGGATATTGAGAAACTGTATTACTGATAATTCCTGATGTATCTTATGTTCTCATTTGGCTCAACAAGGGTTTGACAAGATTTCCAGGCCACAGTCTCTTTTTTTTTAAAATTGTGATTTGGGTTTACAGAGCAAATTCATTTTCCATACAGTAATTTGTTCATACACATTTTGTTTCATGACATTGACTGCAGCCCCCACAATGTAACAGCTCTTTTCCCACTTCCTCTCTGTAGCTACCTCTTCCCATCTTTCCTATGCATTCCTGACCCCTGCCCACAGTCTATTTTTTTAACTAAAGTTTTACTAGAACACAACCATGCCCTCACATTTAGGAAGGCTGCTTTAGCGCTACAGTGGCAGAGTATACGGCCCTTAAAGCCTAAAACATTTACTACTAGCCCTTTAAAGAAAAAGTTTTCAAACCCCTGCTCTAAATCAACATCTAATTACAGTTTGAGGGCAGAACATCCATGTGTTAATTTTGAGACTAGAGTTTTACAACTTTACCATGCTGTCATTTGTAATGTTTAGATTGTTTGAAGCTTACGAATTTGCTGTGGGAAAATTATTTATACATGAGATTAAAATGAATTGAAAAGAAGGTACTGTATTTAATTTTTAGGATCCAAATTTAATTGGCATGAATAATTTTGAAGATTGCAGTTTGTGTCCCACTGTTCCCATTGATCATGGGTTCCGTAGACAGCAGTCTAAGTCAAACAATGTTGAAGAGACTGAGATACACTGGAAACTGATTCCAATTACAGGTAAGAACAAGTATACTGATACTTTAGTTTGCTTCCTTTTGCTTAGTGATCAATTTCCTGAAGGGTTTCATCTTTTTTAGTTTTTCTTCTTGGGTAACCACGTCTTCATCCTTCTTGGCTCTGATATTTTCAGTTCTTATTTTGAACAGTATAATAATGTTCATCACTGAGTGTTGCTGTTCTTGGCCATCATCAGCAAGTATCTGCAGAAAGGCCTGTTAAAAACAGAGATTTAAGGCATACTTTTCCCATGGAGTTAGCATGCAAGTTTCCAAATGAAAATTGTTGGCAGAAACTGTGAGTTTGTAATAAGGTGAGGTAGCTATGTCGACGAAATTATGGTGTTTGGGAAGCCAATTAAATGATACCTTCTCAACTTAGAGTAAGCTCTACTATAACAAGCTATCATCTAGGAAGTAGTCATCTATTTGAAGAAAATTTGCTTTCTTAATATTGGGTTATTTTAGAGAAAGTAGATAATCTTAGAAAATAGCCTGAAATGGTAAAATGCAAATATCATAAGAAAGCTTACTTAACCGTGGGGTGAGAATAATTTAGCAAATGTTGAAAATCTGTGCAAACACACACACACTCTGTCTCTCCCTCTCTCTTAATATTCCAGGTTCTTACTCATCCTTGTTGGCTAATCATTTTTGGAAAGATTTCCAGACCACATCTTTTCCATTCTTAGATCTTTATTTAACCTTTTGAAAGGAGAAACAAATAGCTTCTTGCTTTAAAAAGAGACTGGTGTGACCTAGAACCTCCTGAGACCACAAGACTCTGAAAAGAATTTCTACAGCTTCCATAGGCTTTAGACTATTCTCTGGTATCTTGACAGAGAGGGCAAGAGGCCTGTAAGTGATGGTAGAGAGGGAACTGGTACTTATTTAGAGACTTCCTCTTGAATGGGAGAAACAGAATAGAGAAGTAGTCCTTATAGGAAATAACCATTCCTCACGTAGACATCTTCATGCTTGGCACTGTGAGCCATTTGAAGGGAAAACACATAGGTGCTGATAATTCTGTCCTCACCTGAATTGAAGGGAAAGAACTTTGCATTTTTGAGTGATCTTTCAGGATTATTTTAGGCAGAAGAGGGAATACGTGGCATTTGTTAGTATTTGGGGTTATCTGAAAGGTGCTTAACCAGTCTCACATCTAAAGAGAGTCTGCAGATGCTAATGGATGCTTTCCCTCAGGAGGGAATGCAAGAAGCCCAGAAGACCAGCTGGGGAATCATGGTGAGAAACAAACACCAGGTGAGAAGGCTCGCTTTGCTTTTCCTCCCAGTGTGCCCTTCTTCAGAATTGCTGTTTGCATTTCTGGTCCTTTATCGGTAGAGCATTGATTTAAGTTCCGTTAATTACAGAAAACTTGAATTACCATTTTTGTATTTAAAGCAGCAATCACATTTTACTAAATATTCCTGGTAATGGGTGTGTTCATAGAGATTATCTAAAGGAAATTCTATTTGATAAAATACAGGATTAAGATTGGAAGCAGTCTTCAAGTTCCTTTTAAAAGTAAAAAATACAAAGAGACCATCTGTCTTTTAGGTACATTTTTCTTGGTCTTGAATTTTTTTAACCCAGATCTTGTAATTGTAAAACTAATACAATACCTAATTTCTGCAAATAGTTAAAATAAGAGATTGAGACACCTTTGGATTCCAGAAATGTTTATGAATATCACTGATGAGTTGCAGTAGGTACCTAGGACACAATCTCCTGTGGAGCTCAGTTGAACTTCGTTTCAGGTGATCATAGATACTGTTCTTTGATATAGAGTTGTTAGTGGGTATTTTTTGTGTGTTTCCAGTTTGTTGTTTCTCACCATTGAGATCTAAGGTTTTTTGACGGTAGTAAATTACAGTGATTCCTTCTCTTTTGGAAATTTAAAACCAAAAAATTTCAGTTAGTAGTTTCTTTAAGAAAATCTTTATTTCTTCTAAGAAAAAGATAATAGGAACTGAACAATAGGTATAAACCATGTAGGAAAAGGCACACATCTTTTGTATATGGCTTGATGAATTTTTATATATGTATATGTTTATGTGACTACCACCTAGATCAATATGTAGATCATTTCTAGCACTCAGGTTTTCTAATGCTTCCTTGCATCAATATTTTCACTATCCCCAAAGAGGAACCACTATTCTGACTTCTTTTACCATACATTAGTTTTGCCAGTTCTTGACCTCAAGATAAATAGAACCTACACATGTCCTCATTTTTATTTGGCTCTTTCAACCAGTGTCTGGGTTTCATCCATGTTTTGCTTCTATCAGGAATTCTTTCTCATCGAGAACAGCAGGTATCTTACTTACGCTTCATAATCCTTCGGTATTTTCATATGGGATACTGTCTCATAGTTTGTGACTGAAAGTGTAGGTATCTGAGTGATGCTGTGTTTAGAGAATTCAATACCTCCCTTTCACTTGAAAGTCAAAAGTACTGCAGTGCTTGAATGTCAGTAAAAAACATGCATTATTGTGGGTCTTTACATGTATGTGTGTCTTTTAAATCATTTATTGATGACATTTTTTAAAATCTCAATGAAATCATCAGGAAATTTTGATTGTGCAGAAAAAATTAGTTGGTGATTATTTGCATTTTTAAGAGGGATTTAGTTCAGAGGTTTTTTTTAAAAATAGGGAAAATTCCCCTTTGTGGATTTAAGTTATATGAGCTTACACAAATTTCCATTTATCCATAGCCTTTTCCATCAATAAGCTTGTTGATTATGCACAAAAAGTATAGCTGTAAAGTTTGGGACAAGTATTTTTGTTTTTAAAGTCACAAATTAAACAAATGTAGATGGTACCCCCAAACTTACTTGTTTTGCAAGATGAAATTAAAAAAAAAAAAATTAATTTGAATAAATGAAACATTTGACATGGTACACAGTTCAAAAAGTACAAAAATACTTTAAAAAGTTAGTCTTTTCCCAGCCACATAGTTTCCCTCTATGGATCAGCCACTGTTACAAGTTTCTTACGTATCCTTCTAGATCTTTTTTGTGCACACTAAACTACATTTTAATTGCAAAATTAAAGATATTCATTACTCTTGAGTTACATTATGGAATGCTTGTCTCAGCACATCACAGACTTGATCTTCTCACTCTTCTTTTGCACTTTTGTACTGAATGAGTACAGTGGTTTGTGGTAATCATTGCATTGGTGGAAAATGTCACAAGCTGACTGCTTGCTGTGAGGTTCTTCTAAAATTTGAGAAAAGTATGAGTGTGGGGAAAATCAAAGCTGAGTTTTGTGTAGTGGTGGTGTGGTGCTATACATAGGTGCAGACTTGAAAAGGAATTAACCATATATTTGAAGTACTGCAGTTTAGAAAACTTGTACTAAACTTTATGGTTTAGAGGCACCATTTCATATAGTACAGGAATAATTTGTTAAGGAATGTTGGGTAAGATTTAAGGAAAATTAATCATTTTTTAAAGGGTAAATTTGTGTAGTATCGTTTTCTAGGCAAAGATCATGAATTTTTTCATTTCCTAAAATACAGTTTTATTATAAATTGCTGTTACATACATATTCCCCTTCTTTCTTAAAAAGGGATTTAAGGTACTTGTTTTGAAATATAATTTCAAGAACATACTGTATTTGAACTTAGGATATATTTTTTTAAAAACAAGAGAGGTGGTCTTCCCATTAGCACCAGCTAGCTGAATGACATCTTTACTTCAAATGCTAATTAATAATCATCCTGATTTCTCTTGGAGTTATTTCTAGAACAAAGTGAAAAATACTTAATGAAAGCATTGCCAAAGGTGTTACTGTTAATGCAGTTACACGTAAAATACTTGTTTTCGTCCTGTTTCTTTAAGACTTTCTCCTGATAAAATGAAGTCCCTGACATTGTAGGAAATCCTCTGTGTAACTTCATAGTGAGAGCAGATGTAATGGCTGATAAAATTTATTACCCTTAATCCTGAAGGCAACTCTTACGTTGGCATTATTCCATAGCATTTCTGTTTGATATTCTTTCTAATGCTTAGCACTTAAGATTCTCATAGTATACTGGGGGGTGGTATGGGCGTGTATTACTGTAGTTGGCATTACTTGACCAAGAATATGGGGATTGAGCAAGCTGTTATGACTCACCATCCTGGTGAAAACAAGTCTATTAAAGTCAAATCTGTAGAAATAAACAAAGGACTTAATTTGTATTGATGCCAAGCTGGTGCTTGTTTGAACAAAAGCACAGCAGTAACATTCAGAGTTGTCATCCTAGCTCCCAAAATCCAAAGACCAAGTAGGGGATATAAGAAATAGGGTTCACACCAGTATTTGAGGTTTTTATTCTACTTTTTTTTTTTCTCCCAGTGAAACTATCAATGAAACTTTGAATACTTGATTACTTACAAATATATACTTGTGCTCTTTTTTCTGATTTAAGAGTTTGTGTTTTTAGATGTTCTTTCTGGATTGCTCTTACAATAGTGAACTCTTCCTGTATAGGTATGAAATCACCAGAAGAACAACTGGTGTGTCTGCCACCGCAGGAGGCCTTCCCTAACGACCCCCGGGTAATAAGTAGACAGAGAAGTTCTGATTACCAGTTTCCATCCTCTCCATTTACAGACACACTAAAGGGCACCACTGAGGATGACGTGTTGACAGGTCAGGTGGTGACAGTGGAGGAGCAGTGTGTGCCAGCAGCAGAACCGCCTACATTGAGTGAAACCACAGAGAGGACAGTGTTAGGAGAATACAGTCTCTTTTCTAGGAAGATAGAAGAGATTCTAAAGCAAAAGAACGTTTCATACGTCAGTAGAATTTCCACGCCTATCTTTTCAACACAAGAGAAGATGAAACGGCTTTCTGAATTCATATATTCTAAGACTTCCAAAGCTGGTATACAGGAATTTGTTGATGGCTTGCATGAGAAACTAAATACTATTATTATCAAAGCATCAGCAAAGGGTGGAAATTTGCCACCAGTCAGTCCTAATGATTCTGGTACCAAAACAGGATTGAATACTCTGGGAAGGCAAGTCTTACCAATTTCTGCAAGTGATTCCAACAATAAATGCCTCCCTGAGTCAGTTTGTAGTGATGCTTTGAAAGACATCAACTCTAATGAGCATCATTCCTCTTCAAGTTTGGGTGTAAGTGAAGTAGAGATGAACCAGCCACACCATGCCACAGAACTAATGGTGACTTCTGATCATACTGTACCTGGTGATACTGTTCAGGAACCAGTAGAAAAAGAAACAACAAAATCACCCAGTGATGTCAACATTACTGCCCAACCAGCTCTTACAAGTCTTATAAGCCAATTAGAACCTGAAGTATTTAACAGTTTGGTTAAAATCATGAAAGATGTCCAGAAAAATACTGTGAAATTTTATATTCATGAAGAAGGAGAAGAAAATATGCTCTGTAAAGAAATAAAGGTAACTACGCAAGAGGGTAATAGTGATGCTTTGTAGCCTTGTTTTCATTTTTAAATCGTAATTTAATAATGCATAGTTTAAATAACTTAAGTTCAGAACCTATGATCTAAACCTTGTTTTGTGGTATCATTTGAGAGATCATTTGTACACATATTGCATGTATACCTGTAAAATGTTGATTCGGAGCTTTTATTGTTTCTTAAATGTTTTTGTTGTTGTTTTAATGAAGGCAGGAAAATATCTTAGATAAAGAAAGGTAAAATAAGTTGTCATGTTAACAACCCAATATGGTGTTTTATCAGTCAAGTTGAAAAACAAAAATGTCCAGAGATGAGCTACTGATAAAATCTTTTGGTGTTTCCTGTTACCCTGATCACCTCAGGGTTCTCAGCTGTCCTTGTTGATTAAAAAAACAAAACAAAAAACCTTGATGATGCTGAAAAGCTCCCAGTGATAAAAGATTCCTAACTGTAAGGTTTTTTTCTTTCTGCTGAAGCTATAGACTAGACTGGCATTTCAGGTATTTGGTTTAAAGAATATATGCATACACCTGTGTGGGTGTGGGTGTAGGTGTCAGTTATAGACATGTTCTTAGTTGCTGTCGAATCGATTCCAACTCAAAAGCTATACCAAGTGTGTAGAGTAGAAATGCACTGTATAAGATTTTCACGGCTCTGCCCTTTTGGAAGTAGGTCAACAGGGCTTACTTTCAAGGAATCTCTGGATGGGTTTGAACCACAAACGTTTTGGTTAGTAGTCTAGTGCTTTACCATTTGCGTCACTCAGGGACTCCTAAGTATAGGCATAGAACTGAAAAAAAAAAAAAAAAACCAAACCCACTGCCATTGAGTCAGTTCTGACTCATAGCGACCCCCACTGTGTTTCCAAGGCTGTAAGTCTTTAAAGAAGTAAGTCTTTAAGTTGCTTTATCTTTCTCCCACAGAGCAGTTGGTAGGTTTGAACCACTGACCTGGTTGTTGTTATTTGCCGTGGAGTCGGCCCCGACTCATAGCGACCCCTCCTTGGGTTTCTGAGGCAGTATCACTACGGAAGTAGGATTGCCCAACCTTCCTTCCGAGGAGTGGCTGGTGGGTTTGAACCGCCAGCCTTCTGGTTAGCAGTCAAGTGCTTAGGCACTATGCTACCAGAGCTGGTTAGCAATCAAATAAATTCCTTACCCACTATGCTACCAGAGCTGCTTTGGTGAAGGCATGTTGTGTTGTTGTTGTTATGTGCCCTCGAGTTGAACTTGACTCATAGCGACCCCTCCTTGGGTGTTCAAGGCAGTATCGCTACAGAAGTAGATTGCCCCATCTTCCTTCCGAGGAGTGACTGGTAGGTATGAACCGCCAGCCTTCTGGTTAGCAGTCAAGTGCCTTAGACACTACGCTACTAGAGCTCCTTGGTATAGGCATAGATATGTAAAATTTGTAACAATAGATAAAGAAATTGTAACACACAACAACAATTTTATCAGTGATTTAATACTGTAATTAGTACTCATTGTAGGATTTTAATGCTATAAGGAAATGCCTAGCGTTTTGAAAAATAATGCCTTCTCCTATTTATGGAGTTTACTTACCACACCTAAGGGGGTAGTTCTTGCTTATTCTGTTAGAAGCAGCAGAAGGGGCTGTAAATGAGTGGCTTCTTATACCCCAGAGTGGCCTAGAAACTTAGTGCTGCTGACTTGTCAGTTTTAGGATCTCTGTGATATCAGCATGCATAGTGTGATACCCAGTGAGGACATGAAAAACCTGGAAATGCGCATGAGAAGGGAGAGTGCTCAGTGTGCCTTCCTTACCGATCCCTTATGGTTTCTTTGGAAGATGAAATCAGATTTACCAGGAACTCCTTGGTTACGATTTTTGCCCTGTGCGATTAGATGTAGAGCTTCTCAGATTTTCCCCCTGCTCCCTGCAACGTGTTCCCAAGTACAGTACTCTTTGGGGCATAGTTGAATATTGGTGTAGGGCTCAGTGAGAGAATAGGTTAGACACAATCCCGTGTGCTTGGTTTAACTCCACCCCCCTTTTTTTAACCAGTGGCAACATACCTCTGTGACGGCTAGATTGAGGGGATAGGAAATGGATTTACTTTTGAGTAGTGCTTTTAATTAATTCTAGCATAGAGTAAATCGTATTTTTATTGTTTACACAGAAGAAGAAATGACTCTTCTGTGTTTTTCTAATCTGATAGGAAATCACCAGTTGAAACTATCATTCTTTTAATAAATTTACATTGGGAAATTTCCAGCAAAAATGCTGCAGTAGAGTAAAAGGCTTAATGAAAAGAATTTAAGCTTCCTAAATGTTTCTGGGGTCAAAATGACTGGAGTTAAACTAACTGTCTTAACTAGAATGACTTCACATTTAAAGCTGTTTAAACATCATAAAACCCACTGCTGTCAAGTCGGACGGACTCAAAGCAACCCCTCTTGGGTTTCTGAGGCAGTATCACTATGGAAGTAGATTGCCCAGCCTTCTTTCCGAGGAGTGGCTGGTGGATTTGAACTTACAGCCTTCTGGTTAGCAGTCAAATGCCTTAGGCTGTAATTTACATTTTCTTCTGGTCTGAGATCTACCCAGAAGCATCAGAGCTTAGAACAAAGTTAATTAATGTATAAGATGCTGCCTCAGGGGTACAGAAAATTAGCATCTTTGGGTATGACACTCTTGAAAGTTTCAACAGTAGACTATGAGGCAAGCTCAGTTTTATTTGAGAAAGTGATCTGTTCCTGTGCCAGTGAAATGAGGAGGGTGACATTCGGGATCCTGCAGTTTGCTTTAGGGTTCAGAATTCTAACTCTGCATGGATACACTGTTGTATCCTTTGAAAGGCAGTTCCATGTCCCCAGAATGGAGGAAATTGTTAGGGGCAAGAGTCTGTCTTTATTATTTTGCTTGAAGATGTAAACTAGACATACATGGCTAATTTATATGTGAATATCATAGGTACATAGTGAAGCTCTGCTTGAATGCTTTCGGGCTGTTTTGAATTAAGTGAACTACAGTGGTGGTGAAAGTGCTTGCAAGTGTGAAGGAATATACCAGTAATGTGATGGCAAATAATCAAAGACCTGCTTAGAAAGAAAAGGAAAGTGAGTGTGAAGGAGCGGTTACTGATTGGGCTCTGGGGTTAATTTAATGTTGTTCTTTCTGTTACCCCACACTGGCATTTACTTGGCTGTGATTGCTTAGCATTGTAATGTATTACAAAGAGCAAATTCCTAACTGTGATCTTGTGTGCTTTAGGTTGTTTTTCTAGAAAATGAAGAGTGGATTTGATGATCTCTAAAGTCTCTCCTAGAGAATAAGCTCATGGTTAATAACAGTAGTTAAGCTTATCCGTTTATCTTGCATTTCCGGTGTTAAATGGATATTTGCAAAAAAGTTTTTTAATGTTGATTTAGTTGTTTTTCTTTAACAGGAATATCTTATCAAATTAGGCAATACAGAATGTCATCCAGAACAGTTTTTGGAAAGAAGATCAAAATTAGATAAACTATTGATTATTATTCAAAATGAAGACATTGCAGGTTTCATTCACAAGGTAGACTATTCAAATTCACTGCTTACTTTGGTTAAAGAATTGCCTTATTTTTAAATCTTACTGTGTATGAGACTAAAGCTGTATATTTTAAAAACATTATCATAAGTTTTAAAGGGTAGAACTTTGAGGTGGGGAAGTTTAGGGCTTGAGACCTAAATGACTCTTCAGTGAATCAGTTTGTGAGATTCAAGTTTGCACCTCTGCAAATTTTAAATTGCTGTGCATCACAGATCTTCCCTATCACGCAAGTAGTCAAGGCAGAATACTGAATCCTTGAATGCCATGGATCTCCTGATTATCATTATACTGTTCTCATCTCCATTGGTATGTCTCAGGCAAAGCCTGTTTGTACCCCCTCTTTGTTACCCACCCGTTTCCCTTTTTTCTCGGGTATGGAGAAACCCCATCCAGTCTTATGAGCCTAACTGAAATCCTCCTGCTCTCTTTGAAACCTTTCCTGACTGTTCCAGTACCCAGCCTCTTGCCCTCATGTGAATTCTGACTACTCACAAGGTCAGACAGGCTAGCATTTGTTGATTCTTTTTTCCAAGACTACTGTAAACTACTTGTCCTTAGAGTGTTCTCTTCATAGTAGGTGCCCAATAAATGAATGTTGCTGTATATGCTGGGGAAATAATGTTGGAAATACTATTTTTGTACTTGAGTTTCCACAGGCAGTTCACTATCTGGTAAGCCATAGTAAATTCTTTTACACATTTCTTGTAGGTTACTTCACTCCAGACTCATTTCCTTATCCATCCTTATTTCTGTTTTCAATTTGGTATTCTATTTAAACAGGTACCTGCCTTGGTGTCTTTAAAGAAACTCTCCTGCGTTAGTTTCGCTGGTGTTGATAGCCTGGATGATGTTAAAAATCATACATACAATGAGTTATTTGTATCTGGAGGTTTTATTGTGTCTGATGAGTCAATTCTAAATCCAGAAGTCATCACAACTGGTAAGAGTTACGCATTCTCTTGAGCATGTAACTTCTCTTTTTTTTTCCCCCTAGGCTTTTCTGATTAACAATGAGAAATGATATACAGTCACATCATTTTCTTGAGGTTTTATTACCTCTAACTTTCTTTCCTGTTCTCTTAGTCTTTCAAATCATTGCCTCTTAATCTAGTTTTAATGCGAGGCTCTATACTCCTGCTGCACAGAAAGCACCCTTGATTTGTTGTTGGCAGTGATGTATTCTTTTTTTTTTTAATAAATAGATGTTGTGTTCTTTGAGTATAGGGCTATGTTGGTCTCTGTCTCCCTTAAAGAGGGGAAAACGAGAAAGGAAATGGAACATAAAAAGTAGGTGATTCTACATAATATGAACAGACATTTCTGTAATTCGCTTTGAATGAAAAATGAACATCTTTATTTCCAACAGAGAGCCTTAAAAATTTTTTGACATTCCTTGAAGAACTTAGTACTCCCGAAGGAAAATGGCAATGGAAAGTCCACTGTAAATTTCAGAAAAAACTAAAGGAACTAGGAAGGTAAGATTTAGAAAAGAACTTTATAATGATTTTAATGTTAACATTATATATCAGACAGTGTTCAACTGCTCTTCATGAGGTTTTCACTGACCAACTCTTTGATGAGTAGATGGCCCTTTCCTTCTTCCAAGTCTGTCTTAGTCTGGAAGCTCCACTGAAAACTGTTCACCATGGGTGACCCTGCTGGTATTTGAAATATAGGTGGCATAGCCCCAGCCTCATGACAACACGTAAGCCACCACAGTACAACAAACTGACAGATGGGTGGTGGTCCAGTAATACATCAGACAGTGTTCCAACAGGGAACTTCCAGAAATGGCAAGCTGGATTCGTAAGAGGACATGGAACAGGGGTATGATGGATCTTGGCTAAAAGCAAAGAATACCAGAAGGATGTTTGTGTTTTACTGACTATGCAGAAGCATTCGACTATGTGGATTATGACAAATGATGGAAAACACTGCAAAGAATGGGAATTCCAGAACACTAATTATGCTCATGGGGAACCTGTACATAGACTAGGAGGCTGTTGTTTGAACAGAACAAGGGGATACTACATGGTTTAAAATCAGTGTGTGTCAGGGTTTTATCTTTTCAGCATACTTATTCAATCTGTATGTTGAGCAAATCTGAGAAGCTGGATTGTAATGAAGAAGAATGTAGCATCAGGATTGGAGGATGACTAATTAACAACCTGTGATATGCAGATGACACAACCTTGCTTGCTCAAAGTGAAGACAACTTGAAGCACTTACAGATGAAGATCAGAGACTGTAGTGTGCAGTATGGATTACACCTCAACATAAAATGAAAATCCTCACAACTGGACCTATAAGCAGCATCACAATAAATGGAGAAAAGATTGAAGTTGTCTAAGGTTTCCAGAATCAACACCCATGGCAGCAGCAATCAGGAATTCAGATGTCATGTTGCACTAGGCAGATCTGCTGCAAAAGACCCCTTTGCTGAAGAACAAAGATGTCTCTTTGAGACTAAGGTGCACCTAATCCAAGTCATGGGTGTTTTCAATTGCCTCATATGCATGTGAAAGCTGGACAATGAATAAGGGAAAGTGAAGAAGAGTTGATGCTTTTGAGTTGTGTTGGTGGAGAATGCTCAGAGTACCATGGACTACCAGAAGAATGAACAAATCTGTCCTGGAAGAAGTGTGGCTGGAATGCTCCTTGGAGGTGAGAAGGGCCAGACTTTGTCTCACCTATTTTGGTCATGTCAGAAGGGACAATTCCCTGGAGAATGGAATCATGCTTAGTAAAGTTAGAGGGTCATTGAAGAAGGGGAAGGCCCTCAACGAGATGGACTGACACAGTGGCTACAATGATGGGCTCAGGTATAGCAAGGATTGTGGGGCTGATACAGCACTGGGCAGTGTTTTGTTCTGTTGTACATAGGGTCACTACGAGTCACAACCAATGTGACAGCACCTAAGAACACAATTTTACGGTTATGTTCACAAACTTTGTTTTTCTATGGTTGTAGATCATGGAACACTGCTCAGTTTTCATAGATACAGATGTCTTTTGCCAGCCATTGGGAATGTTGATATTGAGTGATCCTGACCATTTTAGGAGGAAGTAGTAGTTTTGTTTAGGTAGAAGTTTGGTGATGCAAGAAAGATACTATCTAACTGTTTTGTGCATCAATGACATACATATGGCAGTAATGAATGCCAAGGTGTGAGGCAAGAGTAATGCTGGCTGTGATGGTTAAGGTTATGTGTCAACCTGCCTGGGCCATGACTCTCAGTGGTTTGGCAGCTATATAATGAATAATTTGGAAGTTTTGTAATGTAGTCATCCTCCAGTTTGTGATCTGATGTGGTCTGGTCATTCTCTGTTTTCTCATAATGTCGATTTCCACGTAATGACCAGGTCTTTGGAATAGCCTTAGCCATGTTAAGTGAGTGGGTATAATTGGACAAGGCTTAATCTCTCCTTGTTAATGGGATTTGTAATTAGGACATTCATTTATATAAATAGATTATTTCTAACTTTCAGAAATCACTTTTTCTACAAGTGATCTGGCAGCACTAGTTACTTGAGAGGCTTCACATAACGTTGAGGGTATCAAGTGACTTTGGAATATTATTTTGGACTACTGGAGTGTCAAGCAGCTCTGTTAGGGTAGTGCCTAAGGTATGTGACTGCTAACCAGAAGGTTGGTGGTTCAAACGCACCAGCTACTCTGCAGAAGGAATACTGGGCAATCTACTTCCATAAAGATACCCTGCCTCAGAAACCCAGAGGGCATGACTATGAGTTAGAATTGACTTGATGGCAGCGAATTTGATTGGAGTGTCAATAAAAAGTACATTTACACGTTAAAAAATTGTGTCTAATACTGGGTCAGCCACATTTCTTGAACTGAAATTAGACCACAGAACATTTGTTTCTTACATGGTCTATGTTTTGTGATGTTCAGTCTTAAAGAATTTTAAAGTGTTTAACTTTTTGTAGCAAATCTTATTTTTAAAAACTTTATCTCTGTCTTCAAATTATTTGAAGTACTTCTAAAGGTGTAACTTATCCAGTTATTTACTGCCCTCATTTTCCTGATAATAGCCAATAGTTTGCAGTACCTGCTGCTTTGTGTCTTCAAGTACAGAAATAGCTGTAGCTTAGAAGTATGTATTGTGTGGTATTTTTTGAAAGATTTATACTGTTTGTCATCATTTCATGTCCTTTATTATAAACTCTAAATTAGCAAAACTGTGTACTAAGTAAAAATGACTGATGGAGATTTTAGTGTAGACTGAGTAACTGGCCCTTCGAGAATGTCCCTGCACATACATGTGGGGAGCACAATTCCTGCTCTCCCTGTCCCCTGAGAAGCAGCCTGTACCAGGCTGTGAGCTAAGCAATGCTGTTACCCTTAGTTACTTAAATTGAGAAATTATGGTCTAATCTGAAGCAAAAGCTGTCACGTTAAATTTTAGAAATGCAGATCTAGATACTTAACTGCTTAATTTTACAGATTGAATGCTAAAGCCCTAAATCTTCTGACGCTTCTGAATGTCTATCAAAAGAAACATCTGGTTGAAATTTTGTCATATCACAATTGTGATTCACAAACTCGCAGTGCTCCAGAATTGGATTGTCTTATCAGACTTCAGGCTCAGAACATACAGCAACGACACATAGTCTTTTTAACAGGTAAAGAGACGTCTCTTAATCTTTTCCCTATGAATTTAGGAATGTGGAGTAAAGAATTTTGTGGGGCTGTGGTGGATGTTGATGATACTGAAAATAGGGATTTTGGGGAGGATCGCATAGTATGTCTATTTTCAAGTATTTTTACTTGAAACTTTCTTGTTTGTTTAGAGAAGAACATCAAGATGCTTTCTAGTTATACAGATAATGGAATCGTCGTTGCAAGTGCTGAAGACTTTATGCAAAACTTCAGAAGTCTTGTGGGCTATCACAACTCAGACACAGAGGAAAACCTTCCGCTGCCTGGTGCTAGTGAGAATCTTGAGTCACAGTCAGGTAACTTTCCAGTAGTTTTCATTTTCTTTAAGGCAGATAGAAAAAGAGGACTGGCTTTGCTCTGTTAACAAATAAGGGAATGCTTGTTTTGAAAACAGTGACCTCAGGGGAAGTGTTTCGATGCATTTAGTGTTCTGATACTTGGCATGCATAAAGCCTGCTCATTTATTATAGTGTAGTCAATACAAGTTGGTAATTGCTAGACTATGCATTTCTTTCTATACTGTTGACTATGCTTATTCTGAGGGTATAAAAGCTCTTTTTGCTGCTGTTGTCAGCAGAAGGCTAGTAGTAAGGAAAACATAGGAAACCAGATACAGGGATTTAGCATTGGCCTACTAAAATAAAACTCCCCAGATGTATAAAACAATTACAAGGCGGTATGGATATCTCTATGTGTAGCTTTAGTCTTCTGTGAGATGGCCTCTGCTTTGGCTCCAGGTTTTGTATAAAATGAAAGATGTACTTACTTTTGTTTTTGATAAAAAGCAGAGATGATCAAAGATTTGATAGCACTAACCAGCTTAGTAATCAGTCCAGTGAAGCTAGATGTCAAAAATATTTATTTTATATTTCTTTTGTCAAATACTGAATTACCGTATAACTTTAGATGCTGTTTTGACATTAACCCCTTTGGAGCTGGGAGTTGGGATTTCCCAACATTAAACGTGAACACATTTCGCAGAAGCTTTTAGCATCGGATTATCTGGACATTCACACCTAGTGTGAGTGTTGTGACTTAAGTGAACTTGTGGCAGAAGACCAAGCTTTAAGGGATTGTGGACTTGCAGATCCTGACGCATTATATTGTGTGAGTAGTGTATAATTTTAAAACTTACTTGTGTATTTCAATAGAGGAGGACTTTTTGTTTTTTAAATGTAGCTCTTTTAGAAAGCCATGAAAAGGATGAAGAGGATATGTCTCTGGATTCAGGGGAGGAAATCTCACAAATAGAAGTATGCAGCAATTTTCATTCAGAAATATTGGCGAAAGAGACCAAAGGATCACGTGGAACAGATCAAAAAAAGAATATTCATATTGAGTTGCAGTCGTCTTTTGACATGCAAAAAAGTTTATTAGAAGATATGACTTACCAAATTGATTCTGAAGAGAGAGCTATTGATAGAACGGGCTCAGAAGAAAACAGCAGTTCAGCAGAACAAGATTTATATAGCAACTTTCAATTAAATATGTCCCATCAGTTTAGTCATTTTAATGTTCTTACTCATCAGACATTTTTGGGGACACCATATTCCCTTTCAAGTCAGTCTCAAGAAAGTGAAAATTACTTTTTATCTGCTTATACTCAAAGCTTGGATAGAGAGCAATCTCCATTTACGTTGGGAAACAATTGATAATTGATTCTACCAGGCCATGTTCAAAAGAGAAATAATTACAGCAACTTTTAAAATATAGTTTGTCGTGGACTTTTTCTGTTTCTTAAAAGTGAATTAACAATTTATATTTCATTCTCTAAACACAAGGTTTCTTGTCCTTTCTCAGTTTTTATTTCATTCTCTAAACACAAGGTTTCTTGTCCTTTCTCAGTTTTTATTTCATTCTCTAAACACAAGGTTTCTTGTCCTTTCTCAGTTTTTCTTTTATTTAAATCATCATGGCCTGTAACAGCTGAAGCATCTGAAAATTGAAATAAATATATATATATTTTTAACATATATTGTTACTTGAATTATCTCATGATGGCACTTTTTAAGTTTTACATTTGTCAGTTGTACTTTGGGCTTCAAATTGAAGCCTCTATTGTATGTAAAACTAGGTCTGGGTAAACATCAATGGCTTTACTTTCTTCTTCTAATGTAATGTCAGATAATACAAACTACTTTTGCTGAAATGATCAACTATTTATTTTGACTTAAGCTTTTGTATAGTGTTTTTACATAGGTATAAGCCAATGATGTTAAATATTTACAAGATTTTTGACTCAGTACCCCAAGATTTACCTAAGAACAGTTTCATTTCAATAATAAACTGTATACATGACTTAATACCAAGCAACACTATTTTTTATCTTTAGGCTTAGCCGTGTAAAAACTGCCTGTTGTTAAAATTTCCCTCAGCTTTTTATTTGATGGTATTTGATAATTACAGTTTTAGTGCTTGTGATTTTAACCTAATTCAGTTTCATCTTTTTAAAAACAGGCTTCTGTTATTTAAAGGTATTCAACAACTTGGAAAATACTTAGCTATAGATTTTAACTGGTAGGTAGCCTTAGAAAAATGAAAGTATATTTTTAACTTGATCTTTAGTAATATTAATTACCATTTATGAAGCACTTTAAGTGCTGCAATACTATAGTGAAATAACTTTTTAAATGCACAGATCAAGTATATGGTTGCTTTAGATGTTAAACCCACATCTGTTGCCGCTCCATTACTAATGCTAAGTTGTAAATGTGTTTTGGGAAAAATAGGATTTAGAAAAGAAAAGCTCACAAAGAGCTTACATGAAATTTGGGTTATTTTGCTAAAAGTGTCTGGAAGTGTTAATTAAGAGAACGTTGACACCTCAAAATGACTTGTGGAAGAATGTTTTTACCAGGTCAGAAACTCCAGACTGAACCACGGTAAGTAGAAAGTTTTTACAGAAAACCCAGGTTGTAAAAAAGGGGGGGAAAATAATAAAAGATTTTTAACTACTAAACATTTACAAAATTAGCTGTGTTTATTACATATAAAGATATACAAACATTTTACTACATAACGTGAAAGCTTTAATGAGGATTAAAAAAAATAAGCTATTTGAAAAATATAACTGAGTAATGAGCACATTTTATATTTTGGGAGACAAATGTGAAGGATTTGGTTTTCTACATCTAAAATGATGAACTAAAAATTCTCTTCTTGATTTGCAGCTAAAGGGATGAGATTAGTTTCCAATTCCTTTTGCTTCTGGAGAAGGCCCTGAAATCACATTGATCTGTTAGTAAGGTGTGTGAGCAGACTTGGAAAGTAATTCTGAACTTGACACGACACTCTTTTCCCGTGTGACTCCAAAATTTGAAAACATAATGTATTAAGCCCAGGATAACATTATGTTACTCGGTCCTAGTTTAAAAGCTTTAATCTTGGCCTTGTTGTATTTTGAATGTTCTGACGTTTTTTCAGGAACTCTTACTCTCGAGTTTCCTCCCTTGAATGTGTAGCTACTACATATTTGCAACACAGCATAAAAATCAAGTCTTGCTTACACTATGGAGCTAGAAGGAGATAGTGTCTGTCCCTTAAAATGGTTGAGTCTCCCATGGTATTTCTAGTGCTTACCTTTACCTTAGTGGCTGATAGAAAAGGCCCTGCTTAGAAGTAAGGATTAGGTATGTCCTCTCAGCCTCACAAATTTCCAATAAGCAAAGAAGTAAATTAGACTTTATTAAAGATTTACTGTGGGTGAGAAGGAGCCCTAGAAGCATAGTGTTTTAAAGGTCTCCAAAAAGTTGCCTGCTTGTACCTACCAGCACCTCCACATGAGAAAGGTGTGACAGTCTGCTTCCACAAGCATTTACAACCTTGGAAACCCTATGGGGCATTCCGAATACTCTGTCCTACAGGGTCACTATGACTCGGCACCAATGACAGAGGTTTTGGTTTATTATGTGAATTAACCATTACTCAAGTTACATGTAACTTGGAGCTAGCATTTAAAAAACTAAAAGCTGCTTTCTGTTTTACCCATCTACCCTCAAATGTAGGGCTGAGATTCTAGCTCTATAGAAAGAAAGGGTAAGTAACCCTTGAACCAACCAACATTTTGAAATGCAAAGGTGGGGGTGGGGTCGAATAATGACTGGATATGGAAAGGGGTACCAAACCAGTGTGTATTTCTGCTATTTGCAAAAAATAAAATGCTACCAGTTTTGGAAATCTGTTTTTTATAGCTCAAGGATAGGTTATAATCTTAAATAAATATTGGATGTGTTAACTGATTTCATTTTTTACTTGTTTAAAAGCACAATAATGAGAAGTAAGAATCCAGTGCTTTGAGGGGGGGAAATACACAAGGGAACTAGTTTGATAAGATCTTACATAGAATCTTACACCAAATTATTCTTTTGGACATGCATCAATGCTCTGTTCTGAACACTGCCAACACATTCATTTAAAAAATAAAGTATGGACCACATTGTAAAGAATTTAAGCATAAATTTTTTTTTTTTTGAAAGGGTATTTTTTTAGAGCCTTATTAAATGTTTTATCATTCAAATGTATGTATTTTTCATTTAATAAAATTGTCTTAATAGTGGAATTGTCTCATGATGTTTTTCTACTGGAGGAAATATTTTTAAAGATGCCAATGTAAAAGCTGAATCCAAGAATGAATGCAATTCCATTGTATTCCCATTCAAGATTAATATACTGGCAGTGCTAAAAGTCACATAAACCACAGAACTAACTAGGGAGTTCAGACGCTTGGCCATACAACTGTTCTCCCCATCCGTCAATATATGGAAAAGCACGTACCTGTCTCAGTTCTGATAGTCCCTTCAGGATTGCTTGCTGTCGATCCCTGTTTTTCACCAAGTTAGGATTAAGAAGTACATCCCTGACATGGTCAGATTCTTGCTGTTCTTGGTCACAGTCTGAAGCCAGAATAAACTGATGAGTCAAACACCCTAAACCAAACCACCCGGTATTTTAAGAATTCATTTAATAAAATGGTATCCTAGCTAAACACCTAGCAAACTAAAGTTAGAAATACTCAAAAATTTAGTAATGGACTGTGGAAAAGAAATACTAAACCTAAGGTGAGGCATAACATTTTATACAAGTAATAATGGAAAATGTGTGCTGCAACAGTAATTTGAATGCAGGGTTAAGAGGGTTTAATTTCTACAATAAAGATACTTGTAATTACTTACTATGTGAATTTTGGTGCTGAGGATTCTGGGTTGAAGGCCTAGATAATGGTGCATCTGGATCCAGGTAATAGATCTCATTAGTTCGGACATAGGGAATAAAATGGGATGGTTCAGAAATCTCAAATGGTAATTCCATGTGTCTAGCTCCTGGGATCAGATTCTCTCTCTCATAACTGTTGATTTTGGGTGATAAGTGCAAGAGATTAGTCTGAGTTTGTTGGGTTCTTTTTTCTACTGCTGTAACTGATGATTGAGACCTAGTTTGAAAAAAAAAAAAAAATTAGGGACCAAGAAACTTTAATACAAAATTGCACATTTTACATTAAGCACAAGCTCTGGTAGCATAGTGCTTAAGGCACTTGACTGCTAACCAGAAGGCTGGCCATTCAGACCTACCAGCCACTCCTCGGAAGGAAGGTTGGGCAATCTACTTCTGTAGGAATACTGCCTTGGAAACCCAAGGAGGGGTTGCTATGAGTTGGGTCCTACTCAATGGCGCGTAACAACAGATTAAGCACATCTACCCTTTAATCACATTACAGTTTATTCTAAATGTGCCTACAACACTTTTTAAGAGCACTAAGTTACATAAAGAAGCTTGAGTTCTAGAACCTTGCCATAAAAAGCACATCAAAATGGAATTACCTGCAGTTTTCACTAGCACTGGCTGAGAACATATCTACCCTAGCATAAGATGAGAGCCAGCGAGCGAGGCTGCCATTGAGTTGGATCTGACTCACAGCAACCCTTCCTTGGGTTTCTGAGGCGGTATCACTACGGGAGTAGATTGTCCAATCTTCCTTACGAGGAATGGCTGGTGGGTTTGAACCACCAGCCTTCTGGTTAGCAGGCAAATGCCTTAAGCACTATGCTACCAGAACTCCTTGTACCCTAGTATAGGGGAAATTAAATTAAAGTTGATTTTCATTCATAGATTGCAAATTTGCCTACTCACTGAAATGTATCTGTAACCACAAAATTACAACTCAGCACTTTAGTGATGCTTCGTAGTCATGCGTACAACTATAAAATTTGAGTTGCCCAGTACTCTCATGGTCCAGCTAAGGCCAAACAAGGTGACAAACTGGCACCTTTCAGCTCTAACACTCTAAACATATGTCCTCAGAATCGTCTACTTGGTACCACTTTTTGGTGGTGGTTGCTTTTTGGCAACTATGCTGTTTAAAATGGCCCTCAATCATACTTCTAAAGCGCTGTCTAGTGTTCTAAGCCCAAGAAGACTCTGTGGTATGTGTTAGAGAAAATAGAGTTAGGTGAGCTCCTTCAGGCAGGCATGCTGGCTGAGCGTTCAGTGATAATAAATCAAGAAAATATTAAATAAGGTGTCTGCATAAGGCAATGTTGGGTATTGATCGGATGATGAAAATGTGAATGGAGGCTCACAAGAAAATAACCTTGTATTTCCCCTAAGAGCAATAGTTCAGGCTTAGCTAACATTCTGAGAACTCTTAAAACCAGGCAGCTCAAGCACAAAGGCAGAGAATAAAATTCTAAGAGTTCTGCATATGCTGTTTTTAATCTCTGACTGATACTTAAATTTCTCATTGTCTTTAACCATTTTTTCAGTGCCCTCATAATCCAAGCATAATGCCTATTCCACTGTTGATATACCTGGAAAAACAAAACTGCTTAGCTGAACCTGAAGATAATAATAGATGATGGAAAAGGTCCTGCCTGGGATACTTAGTCCCAGTGCTAAGTTTGAATTAAGAGGCTTCCCATTCAGTTGTCAGCTAGTCACCTCTTCAAGCTCCAGCTAAAATACCATCTTTCCTTAACTCTGCTGCTCTCTTAAGAAAGTCACACCCTTTCAACTCCTTGCTGTCTTCGTATATATACATGCCTGATCTCACGTAGAATCTAAGCAGATGTTTGATGCCTCTTACACCACACAGAAAGCAGTAAATGACTACAGAACCAATCTCATCCATAACATACCTTTCCCTGCTGAAAGGATGACTTTTGGGAGGTGAATCTTCCTAAAAAAGGGATAGATAAATGTAAATAAGGAGTATATAGCTTTTCCCAGCTGTCCCCACAAAGATTTTCGTGGTTAGTAATTTAATCTGAAGATATCTGAACAATAGATACTGATCATGGAATAGAAAGATGTAGAATTTTTCTAGAGAGTCAGATGCAATCCAGAAACTTCCTGATCATATAAATTGTCAACTGTCTATATGGAATACAAGCACAAGTTTCAGCAAAGAATGGCATTCACAAAGTGTAAGCTTTTTCTGTATCTTTTGGCTTTGCTTCCACATAGCTTTATTTACAAAAGCAGGTAGCAGGCTAGATTGGTCCATTGCCAATCCCTGTATAAACTTAAGCACATTTCTAGAACTCTTGTTTAAATGCAGAACAGTCTTGTTGAAACTACATATGGAGAACTATTCTGAATCTAGAAACACCACTACGTGCTTGAAGGTAAATTTAGGACAGAAAAGCTTTACCTTTTTGACTAGATGCCCCCTGAACCCTGAGCCAGTTTCTTGATGAGATGCATGAAGATCTTCTGGTGAAGTGTCTTCATTCTGAGCCAGGTGTCCAGGATTCTTTCTTTCTACCAACTGAAGGAGTTCCATCTGTCGTCTTACTTGTTTTTCTTCTCTCTGCTTTTGAAGCTGTTGAGGGTACTTTTCTGATGTTGTAACGTATCTTTTGAGTGGCTTGTTTATATTCCAATCTGGCCTTTTAAGACATTTTTTCATGTGCTTTATTTGTTTCTCTGTTCTTATGAACTGGTTACAGTGGTCACTAAGCCAACTGTTAGCTTTTTCTAAGTTGGCTCCTTTATCTGGACTTAATTTGTGGTTATTCTTAGTGTTAAACTGTCCACTAAACTCTGCAGAAATCTCAGGAGATGGACAACCTATAATCTCCCTCTCAATTACTGCTCCACAGTGTAATTCTGCATTGAACATTCCTGTATTCAAGTCATCTGGGGAAAAAAGAAAATTCAGATGATTTATTCTTAACACCATTTTCTCTCTCTCTATATATATATAAATTTTATTAAGGATTGTTTGGGCTTACACTTAACATAAACAAAATATCCTACCTAGTTGTCATCTTGTATATCTAAGTCTATTGCTGAGAAAACCCTAATAATTTTTCTGTCACATGTAGTAGCTCACATTTTTTGATAAAAAGCAATTTAAGAGCTCTTTGAAAAGAGATTACAAGTTCTCTTATTATCCTGGTATGAAATGAAGAACATCAATATAAAATATCTGGAAAATGTCCTTTAGCTTTTGTTTTTTAAACCTCAGAGGCACTAGGTGTTTCTTATAACCTCCCACTTAGTGCCAAGTTTTTAGATAACTACTGCTAAAGACATTAAGTTAATAATGTATTACATGTAATTTAAATCCTAATCTATGCACCTTAAAGCTAAGAACCAGATCTTGCTTTGCAGAAGAACGTCCTTGATCATAATCTTTGTTTTCCATTGTGAAACTGGAAAAAGTCACCACTCAAAAAAGATCATACTTGACATTTCCTTACTACTAAAGGTTCAATGACACGCTCAGCTATCACAGTAACAACATTGCAAAGGCTCTTTCACATGATTAAAATTTCAATTATGTAATCTGGTACTGAAAGATGGAGCTCTAGGCAGTACATTTTTTAAAAAAAAGGACAGTCTAGAGATCTCCTAACTTACCTCAGACACTTACAGGAATAAACTCTATCAGGTGTGCTCAGGCACAGGAAGGCTGCCCGCCTGCAGCATTCTTGTACTGGACATTTTCCTTTTGCCACTCCAGACCCATTTCCTACCCCTCTCTGCCCTACTCCTGCTATGACAGAGTGAATCACATCAATGGGTTTCTAAATCCTCTGGGTTTTGGTTCTGTCAAGAGGGTCCTCAAGCAGATTAAGAAAAGGGGAGTGAGGTCAGTCTATTTACTCCACTGGTTCATTTTCCTGTGAGCTGACTCAGGCTGATGACTCCCTTAACTAAAGGCTACTGCTTCTCCCAGGTGATTACACAACCTCTGTTGCCCTCTGGGTTCTGGTAACAGCTTAATTGCTCGTAGCACAGTCAGTGCACCATGTCTTGTGATTCCCTTATATCTATTCCTTTGGAAATACTCCATTTCTAAATAAACCATCTTGAATTACCCTGTTTTTGGACACTGACTGATTAAATTCCTTTATTTAAAAGAGCTATCCACAATCTCACCATCTTAAGAAAAAGTTTCACCTTTCCTTAATTAATATGTAGGATTGAAATAATTTTGGTATTTTTCTAGACATAAGGGAAGGATTAAACCAGATTGTTCTATGCTTAAGAGCAAAAAACACCAAGAGTGCATTTAGCAGAACTTCAATTAAGGAAGCAGTTGCCCTGGCAAACTGCTTTGCTTCAGTTTTCTTTAACTTCTCTTTCCATCATAATGTAGGCTGTTGGTAGTGGTGTTAGGTGCCGCTGACTCCAACTCATAACAACCCTAGGTACAACAGAACGAAACACAGCCTGGTCTTGTGTCAGCTTCCCATCCTTGCTAGGATTGAATACATCGTTGCAGCCACTGTGTCAATCCATCTCACTGAGGGCCTTTCCCTTTTTCACTGACCCTCTACTCTACCAAGCATGAAATCCTTCCCCAGGGAATGGTCCCTTCTGACAACATGACCAAAATAGGAGAGAAGACGTCTGGCCATTCTCACTTCCGAGGAGCATTTCGGCTGCACTATTGCCAGGACAGATTTGTTAAGTTATTCTGGCAGTCCATGATACTGTCAGTATTCTTCACCAACATTACAATTCAAAAGCAGACTCTTCTTCGGTCTGTCTTATTCATTGTCCAGCTCTCACATGCATATGGAGGTGACTGAAAATACCATGGTTTGGGTTGGGTGTACCTCAGTCTTCAAATAGGTATCTTTGCTCTTCAACACTTTAAAGAGGTCTTTTGCAGATTTAGCCAGTAAAATATGAAGTCTGATTTCTTGACTGCTACTTCCACGGATGCTGACTGTGGAACCAAATAATATGAAATCTTTGGCGCCTTCAATTTTTTCTCCATTTATCATATTGGTGTTCAGTGGTCGAGTTTACTGATGTAGACTATAACATACTCGAGTTGGATGAGTTGGACATGACTCACAGCAACCCCTCCTTGGCCTTAGGCACTACGCCACCAGAGATCTTTGATGTAGACTGTTCTTATGTACCGTCAAGTTGGACATGACTCATACTGACCCCTCCTTGGGTTTCCCAGGCAGTATCACTACAGAAGTAGATTGCCCAACCTTCCTTCCAAGGAGTGGCTGGTGGGTGTGAACTGCCAGCCTTCTGGTTAGTAGTCAAGTACCTTAGGCACTATGCTACCAGAGCTCCCTGATGTAGACTAGTTGGTATTATATTAAAATATGGTTAAAAACTGGCAGAAAGCAATGTTGTGTTACGGGAAGGATTTCCCTAAGAAAATCAAGGGCTTGCAGTGCCAAACCCTGGAGTGGCTCTTTGGTATCCTGAAGGCAACACTACCTGTTAACTTATGGCCAAACTGGTTTTGTCTCTTTTTTAACTTACACCAGGATCCCTGAGGAGCATGAATACTGATAGGAGGGTCACTGGTCACTAGTGGAAACAAAAAGGTGTCCCAAAAAGAAAACTGAAGGCATTCATAATAAGCATGGAGAATTATTGATAATGATACACAACACAGATATTAACTAATTACCAATTTAAAAAATTCAAACCAGCACATGAAAAGATATTCAACATCACTATGAGAGAAATGCAAATGAAAATCCCAATGAGATACCAACTTATACACACTAACAAAAAAACAAACTAGTTGTTGGAAAGTCGATTTTGATCTTGATGAGTCCAGGTCTTGCAGAGCAAAACTGCACTACAGAGGGTTTGTCAGGGCTGTGACTTTTCAGAAGCAGATGTCAGGGCTTTCTTCTGAGGCACCTCTGGTAGGTTAGATCTGCCAACCTTCTGGTTAGTAGTAGGGCACTTAAGCATTTACATATCACATTCAGAGACTCCTTTTTTGTACATACTAGAATGGCTATACTAAAAATTTCTGACAGACAATAACAAGTATGGTTGATGTGGAGCAACTGGAAACCTCGTACACTGCTGGTGGGAATATAAAATGGTGCAGCTGCTATGGGAAAGTTTAGCAGTTCCTCAAAGTGCTAAACAGAGTTACCATATGATGTAGCAATTTCACTCCTAGGTCTATACCCAAGGAAACTGAAAACATATCCACAGTAAAACCTGTTCATAGTGTTCATAGCAGCTTTATTAATAATAGCCAAAATAAGAAATAACCTGGTATCTATTGATGAACAGATGAAAAAAAAAAGATGGTATAGTCATACAATACAGTGTTACTTGGCAATAAAAATGTATTACTGATAGACGCTATAACATGAACACACTGAAACTTTATGCTAAGTGAAAGTAGTCAATCCACAAAAAGATCATATATGGTATGACTCCAATAATATGAAATGTCCAAATAAGACCAATCTATAGAGACAGAAAATAGATTAGTGGTTGCCCAGGTCTGGAGGGATTGGAGGATATGGGGAATGACTTCTAATGGGTAGAGTGTTTATTCTTGGTGTGATTAAAAACTGATTGCGAGAATGGTTGCACAACTCTGAATATACTAAAAACCACTTGAGTTGTACACCTTTTTTTTATGGTAGGTGAATTATATGTGAATCAAGTTGTTAAAAAAAGAAAAAGAAATCCATGACATTAGATTCTTTTAATTTCTAATTCACTTACACTTAAAAACTCCCAATTCTTATATTTTAAACTTTATTCACAATTAAAGCAATTAGAATTAAGTAAAATTTAAATGACAAATTATAAGGAAAATACCTGTTTGCACACCAGTATCCTTCTTTGGAGAGGTTGTATAATTGAGATATGTATTCATCTTGCCACCAGATTCATCAGAGCTATGCTTTGAATTTGAAATGTTAGTGGATGCATTACATTCCGTTTGTATTGTACCAACTGGTAAGGAGAAATAAATTATCTAATAAAATAACAATTCAGGAATATTAACAAATTATGTATGACATCAACTAAACACTCAGCAAGACTTTTTGTTAAATCAATTAGTATGAACACTGCAATGAAACTTTAGAAGAGCTAGCCTAAATTTTCTTGAAAAAGTTTAACCCATTGCTGTTGATTTAAATCCAACTCATAGCAACCCTGTAAGGTCAGGGAAGAACTGCCCCATAGGGTTTCCAAACAGAAGCAGACTGCCTCATCTTTTTTTTCCCTCAGAGCAGCCTTGGGGTCTGAACCTTTGGTTAGCAGCTGAGTGCTTAATCACTGTGCCACAAGGGCTCCTACAAAAGGTCACTTTTATTTATTTTATCCTTTACTAAATACAGGTAGATCAGTTAATATTTTTCTTCATAAGAACAAGTATAAAAGTACACATTTTATCTATCTTACAGGATTATAGCTAAGCAGCATATAATAAAATTTATATAAAAAGATAATTGAAAAGTATAACACTATTGAGTTGTATTTCAACACAATTTCCCAAATAAAATAAGCATTGCTGTTTATGAAGTTACATTAGTTTGAACTTCAATAACTCAACAACAAAAAGACAACCCAATTAAATAAGCAAAAAACATTAACAGACACTTCACCAAAGAGGACATTTAACAGCCAACAAAACATATAAAAATATGTTCCCAATCATTAGCCATCAGAGATGGCAATCAAAACAATGAGCTACCATCTCATCCCGGCTAAAATGGCACCGATCGAAAAACAGAAGACAAGTAATACTGGGGAGGATGTGAGGAGACTGGAACCATTATGCACTGCTTGTGGCACTGTAAAATGGTACAACCTGTATGGAAAATGGTATGGCCCTTCCTCAAAACACTAATAATATAACTACCTCATGATCTAGCACTCCTACATATATACTTAATAGAAGTGACATGAACAGACATATGCATACCTATGTTCTCTGCAGCACTATCTCCAAGAGCAAAAAGATGGAAACAATCTAAGTGCCCATCAACAGATGAATGGACAAACAAAATGTGATATGTGCATACAATGGAATATTACATGACCATAAAGAATAATGATGAGGCCTTGAAACATAGTGTAGATGAATCTGGATGATATGCTGAGTGAAACAATTACAAAAAGGACAAATGTATGATCTCACTTTTTTAAAAGATAAAAATATACATAAACCAACGTTCATTGCCAGGTGGATAAGGGAGAAGATAAAATACTCTTTCGAAAGTAGACACTTTTTCTTGGTGATGGGAAAGAAATACCAATGATGGGGAAAGAACACACACTTTGACAAAGGTAAATGGTGTCACTAAGAAGTGCTGCTGTTGTTGTTAGGTGCTGTCAAGTTGGTTCCTACTCATAGCAACCCCATGTACAACAGGACGAAACACTGCCCAGTCCTGTGCCAGCCTCACAATCCTTGCTAACCTGTGCCCATCATTGCGGCCACTATGTCAATCCATCTCATTGAGGGACTTACCCTTTTTCGTCGACCCTCCACCTTTCCAAACATAACATCTTTCTCCAGGGAATGGTCCCTTCTGGTAACATGACCAAAGTAGGTGAGACGAAGTCTGGCCATTCTCGAATCCAAGGAGCATTCCGGCTGTACTTCTTCCAGAACAGATCTGTTAGTTCTTTTGCCAGTCCATGGTAGTTTCAGTATTTGTTGCCAACATCACAACTCAAAAGGATCAACTCTTCTTCGGTCATCCTTAATTCTCTGTCCAGCTCTCACATGCATATGAGGTGATTAAAAATACCATAGTGTGGGTTTATGCACATCTTAGTCTTCAAGGAAACATCTTCGCTCTTCAGCACTTGCAGATTTTCCAAGTGCAGTATGTCATCTGATGTCTTTACTGCTGCTTCCATTGGTGTTGATGGTTGAACCAAGTAATATGAAATCTTTAACAACTTCAATCTTTTCTCCATTTATTGGTCCAGTTGTGAGGATTTTCATTTTCCTTATGTTGAAATGTAATCCCTACTGCAGACTGAAGTCTTTAATCTTCATTAGTAAGTGTTTCAAGTCATTCTGACGTATCGCAGGTTGTTAATGAGCCTTCCTCCAATCCTGATGCCACGTTCTTCTTCATACAGTCCAGCTTCTCAGATTATTTGCTCAGCATGCAGACTGAATAAGTATGGTGAAAAGATACAACCCTGACACACTCCCTTCCTGATTTCCAACCATACAGTATCCCCTTGTTCTGTTTGAAAGACAGCTTCCTGGTTATGTACAGGTTCCTGATGAGCACAATCAAATGCTCTGGAATTCCCATTCTTCTCAATGTTACCCATATTTGTTATGATCCATACCTTTTACACAGTTAATAAAACACAAGTAAACATCTTTCTGGTATTCTTTGCTTTCAGCCAAAATTCATCTGACACCAGCAATGATATCCATTGCTCCACATCCCCTTCTGAATCCAGTTTGCATTTCTGGAAGTTCTCTGTCAATATACTGCTGTAACTGTTTTTGAATTATCCTCAGAGATAATTAAAAATCACGTAAAATTTTACTTTTGTGTGATATTAATGATATTGTTTGATAAGTTCCACATTCTTTATAAAAGAGTACACACCTGGTTGCTAAGAGCACCCCTATATTAAGTGGTACAGGGAAGACAGTACAGGTTGTTGTCAAGTGCCATATTTGAGCCTACCTGACAAAGAGCAAATTGTACAATGGCATTTGATTGTCTAGAAGTTTAAAAAGTAGAACACAGAGCATTTCCCTTGAAGCTATGTGGGATGAGGCCAGGAAGCTGAGTTTTCTGGCTTTTTCTCATTTAGCAAGCTTCACTCCAAGACTGGCTGATAATGGGACACTTGGACTGGGTTCTGATTTCATTGTGTTGAACAGGCTGAGGCTTTCTTTGGAATGGAAACAAATATGGATCTCTTCCAGTCAGTTGCCCAGGTAGCTTTCTTTCGAATCTCTTGGCATAACCAAGTGAGGGCCTCCACCATGGCATCCTTTCGTGGAAACATCCTAATGGGTATTCTGTCCATTTCTGGGGCCTTGTTTTTCGCCAATTCCTTCAGTGCAGCTTTGACTTCTTCCTTCAATACCATTGCTTCTTGATCATATGCCCCCTCCTGAAATGGATGAACATCAACCAATTCTTTTTGCTACAGTGTCTCTATGCATTCCTTCCATCTTCTTTTGATGTGTCCTGCATCTTTCAATATTTTGCCCATAAAATCTTTCAGTATTGTGACTCGAGGCTTAAATTTTTTCCTGTGATGTTGGCTTGAAGTTCTTTCAGCTTGAGAAATACCAAGTGTGTTCTTCCCTTTTGGTTTTCTAACTCCAGGTCTTTGCACATTTCATTATAATAATTGACTTTGTCTTATTGAGCTGCTCTCTGAAATCTTCTGTTCAGCTCTTTTATCTTGTCATTTCTTCCATTTGCTTTAGCTACTCTCTGTTCAAGGGCAAGTTTCAGAGTCTCTTGTGACATCCATTTTGATCTTTTCTTCCTTTCTTGTATTTTTAATGACTTTTTGCTGTCTTAATGGATGATATTCTTCATGTCATCCCACAATTTCTCTGATTCTCATCTCGGTCACTGATAATCCAATGCATCAAATCTATTCTTTAGATGGTCTCCAAATTTAGGAGGGATATAATCAAGGTGATATTTTGGCTCTCAATTCTTTGAAAAGTGGATGGTCCCTTCCTTCTTCTGAGTCTGTCTTAGTGTGGAAGCTCTGCTGAAACCTGTGCACCATGGGTGCCCCTACTGGTATTTGAAATACTGGTGGCATAGGCTCCAGCCTCACAGCAACACACAAGCCAGCACAGTGTCACAAACTGACAAGACGAGTGGTGGCATTAAGAATTACACACATACAAAAAAGGATGTTTGTGATAAATGCATGGACATATATTAATTTTGCAACAACACCAACAACCAAAAAATAAAAACATTGGTTATACATGTATGTATGTATATGTGTACAGGTGTGTATATGTTTGTACATATATACATGTATCTAAATGTGGATATGTGTGTGAATGTATATACAGCTCCCTCCCTGCATTTTTACACAAATTACATATGCCTTCTGCTCTGGTAGCACAGTGCCTAAGGCATCTGACTGGTAACCAGTAGGCTGGAGGTTCAAACCCACCAGCCGCTCCTCGGAAGGAAGGTTGGGCAATCTATTTCTGTAGTGACACTGCCTCAGAAACCCAAGGAGTTGGGTTCGACTTGACGGCAGTGTTTCTGCTTTTATTTGCCGACAGCTCCCTCTCTCTAGGTATTTTTATAAGTGCACTATACTAATTTTTTTTTTAACAGAAACATGTTTAAAAAAAAAAAATTGGCACAGTGGTGCTTAGGAAAGTATCTCCCAGGAGGAGGAAGCAGTTAGCTTTTGCGTAGAAAATACAGTAATAAAGCATTGGGGCAATAGTTATGGATACCTCTTAGACATAACCGAATACCTCATAAGATTGTTTTTCTGAGTATGAAGCCTTAGGACCCTGCCCTCTGTCATGGGACAGCTTGGTCAACTGGCATATTATAGTTCATCGAGTGTATGTTCTACACCCCAGTTTGGTGAGTAGTGTCTCGAGTTTTAAAAGCTTATGAGTGGACATCCAAATAAGTTTCTTCTCTTCTGGAGCAAAAGAGAAAGGAACCCAAAGACCCTAAGAAGAAACTAGTCTACTGGTCTAACAGTGTATATCAACCACGGCCTCATCTACCTCAAGATCTGAAGAACTAGATGATACCTGGCTATACCCAGTGCCCATTCTGATCAATCAGGGCCACAATAGACAGATCCTAACAGAAGGGAAAAAAAGTGTTAAACAGCTAACATTTTTCAAAAGTCCATATATTGCTGGACCTATTGAGACTAAAGGATTTCCATGACTATCACTATGATATACTCCATAAACCTTGAACCAAAACTCTCCCCGAGGTCACCTTTTAGCTAAAAAACAAATTAGCTCATGAAATAAGGAGTATTACCCAGTAAATAGGAGCTCTGGTAGCATAATGCCTAAGGCACCTGACTGTTAACCAGAAGGCTGGCGGTTCAAACCCACCAGCCACTCCTCAGAAAGAAGGCTGGGCAATCTACTTCCGTAGTGATACTGCCTTGGCAACCCAAGGAGGGGTCGCTATGAGTCGGGGCTGACTCGACAGCACATAACTACAACAACAACCCAGTAAATACTGTGCACATTTAAAAAATTATCTCCATAAGACCAAATAGTAAGTATTCTAAAGCAAAGAAAGATAGAAGGGTAAGGGGACGGAAAGCAGATTACTAGAGACAAAACATCTAAAATGGAATTAAGAAGAATGCTGACACATTGTAAAAAATGTAACCAATATCACTGAACAATGTGTTCAGTATTTATTCAATGGGATCCCTGATTTGCTGTGTAAACTTTCACTGAAAATACAGTCAATTATTAAAGAGTTAAATTAGTACAAGGTCTGAAGTTTCTTTGAAAAAAATTTAGTTAAATGTTAAAGGTATTAAAAAAAGGCAAGTATTTTAACATTTTTTTCAAAACATAGTAAAAAGGAAAGTCTGATTAAATGCTTACCACCAAGATTTTTAAGCAATCTGGAAGTGTCGTGTCCTTTCTGGGCCAATTCTCGGATTCTCTGCTCTTGTTTCTGTCTCTGTGCCAGCTCCTGTGCTCTCTGCATTGTCTGGAATAGCTCATTTGTCTTCAGAGTCATGATTTCCTATCCACAGTAGACGTGTACACAGCCATTAAACACAAATATCAAACACATTCAGAGTTTATTATTTTCTCTTAATAAATATTTTCTTAGCTCCTACTATGTGCCAGGCACTGTTCTAATCATTGGGGGTATATCAATTACCAAGCAAGGCAAGGTTTCTGCCCTTTTAGACCTTACATTTTAACATTTTTTCTATAACTGTAGATCATAAATTTAAGAACTCTTTTTATTCATTTCAAGTTTATACTAATAAAGTTTTCAAAGTTTCGAAAAACCAGTGGTCAATCCCATAATTCTGTTAAAATGAAAATTAAATAGATGGTGAAAGGTGAAACACAAAGTTTATAGTCATATCTTCTAGTTTCATTAGGTGATACTTTCTTTTCTTGTGCAGTTATTTTATATGAGTAGCCAGCTCAGCCTGTTCAACACAATGAAATCAGAACCTAGGCTAAGTGTTCCATTATCAGCCAGTTTTGGAGTGAAGCTTGCTAAATGAGAAAAAGCCAGAAAACTCAGCCTCTTGGCCTCACCCCACCTAGCTTCAAGAGAAATGCTCTGTGTTCCACTTTTTAAATCTCTAGACAATCAAATGCCATTGTACAATTTGCTCTTTGTCAGGTAGGCTCAAACATGGCACTTGACAACCACCTGGACTGTCTTGCCTGTACCACTTAATACAGGGGTGCTCCTAGCAACCAGGTGTGGACTCTTTTATAAAGACTGTTATTTAACACAGAGAAAACCTCTGGCAGTCACAAGCCATATTATCAATTACTCTGCAAATATATGCTCCCTTTCATAAATGAACATGGATAGAAAGGCCTACCAATCCTCTTAACTTATCTAGAATAACTATTAATGGTGATAACTATTACTGGAAAAATATTTCAAAATCAAGCACATAGATTATTTTTACTTTGTACTGTGCTAATGCATCTTGACCTTCTTTTAGCAGGAAGTAAAAGCTCAAGCAATACAGCATTGTGGACTAATCATGATATACAGCCTTCTCAAATGTCTCTCTTACTTTCATACTTTTCTTTATATTTTTGTTTCCAAGTATAGCTTCAAACTGTTGAAACACATGTAAATGTTCCACTTCTGGTTATTTTTCATTTAGGAAAAAAAAAAAAGGTAGACACCCTACATTCATTTTTATTCTAAAATCTTACAGTCAGAAAGTAAAAACTTACTTCCTTTTGTTTTTGCTTAAGTATATCTTCTTCATACTGTCTCTGCATTTCTTCTCGCTCCCGTGCTAAGCGACGCTCCTCTTCTTGTTCTTCTTTCTTTCTTTGCTCTTCTTCCAGCTGCTTCTTCCTGCGTTTCTCTTCCACCTGAGCAGTGATGGCCTTCTACTCAGAAACAATCACATAAATCATAATCATAAATTAAAATCCATGGAGTATTTATTTGGTGACTCTGGAATAAACTTATTAGCATACAGGAAGTATTACATATGTGAATAAAGTTGAAACATCAAATTCCCCATGTATTTCTCCCACCTCCTACTTTTCCAGTCAAGTTCTGTAATGTCTCTTCTTCAATCCCAGGAGGGCTGTTAGGACACACAGAAACACAACTGAAGAAATCTGCTCAGTGCTAAGTTTCAAGCCTGGCAAGCAGTAGATAGTCTCTAAGTGTCTGTTCACTGAACTGACTGGAAGTAGTATCATAACTAAGCCATTTTCTTTATCAAAACTTTTAGAGAATTATTCAGACATTTAAGTCCTTTAGTATCAGACTAAAATCAGGAGGGAACATTTGAATCTTTACATCTTTTCTTATATTATATACTAGATTTCTTAATCATAATTCTATTTTAATCTCCTATATATTTCATTTTCAAAGAACTAATTTTTATCCTGAACAGAACTCAGAAGAACCAAATTGATGAAAAGATATACAATAACTTAAGACCTACTGCAAATCCATATACACAATCTATTATATTAAACACCTGCTCTATTGAAAAGCAAATAGCTGTATTTTATGATATTGCTGGTTCTCAGGCTCGAGTATCATTCATATGCCAGTTGGGATAGGGGTTAGATAAGACCTATGTCATCAGTCTATATCAAAGTTTTAATATCTACTTACTGAGTTATCTAGTGGCCATGAATATTACTTATCAAGACAAAGAAAAATGCTTTACAATGCAATACCTGATGTTCTAACTGTTTTTGTCGCCGTCTGTCTCGTTCCTCAATCTGAGCTGGGTCCAAGAGAGCAGTCATAGAACGGAGAAAGCTGGCAAGACAGATACATTAGATGTTTACAAAAAAGGTGGGTTCATTTTTGCTTGGTATAGGCTTACTATTCATTTTTATTCATAGAAAATTACCAAGCACTGAAACCAATTAGAAATAATATAAAAAGAGCAGCCCTACCAAAAGCATGTAGACTATCTCAACCATAAATGAATACTGAAGGATTAACTTACTTTGTTTTTTGACTGTTTGTCATAGCCACATCCCTAACAGGTTTGGCCACATGCTCTTCCTCTGCAGGTCCAACCTGACTTCCATTTATAGGTGTATAAACACTGGTGATGTCAGCTAGCTCCTGAGCATCAGGAGACACACAGAAGTACTCTGGTGGTTTGTGTGTTGATTGAGAGGACAGCTGAGACTGACAACCAGCATAACTCTTCAAGGAATCGAAATGCATTGCCCATCTATCATGTTCCTCACCCTAGTAATGACAAATAAGAATCTTTACAATGCTCTCTCACATATAAAATCACAAGTGATGATCCAACATGTGTTTCTAAAAGTCACACCACACAGCAGAATACCAGGACCAGTTGCCACTGAGTCGATTTTGACTCGTGGTAACCCCATGTGTATCAGAGTAAACCAGATTCCATAGGGTTTTCAACAGCTCATTTGTTACAAGTACACTGCCAGGCCTTTCTATCAGGGTGCCTCTGGGTGGACTCAAAAAAATTGTTCAGCAAGAAGCCAAGTGCATTAACTTTTTACACCACCCAAGGACTTTATACAGCAGAGTAAGTACTATGTTTTAATCTCATATATATTTACATAACTAACTTGAAGAATGTAAGAAATAGGAAAATGGCTAAAAAGTAAATAGGAAGCGATATAAAATCATACTTGCTAATAAGTCCACTTAATGAAAGCAGGCTGACATGAACAAATGTGGAATACTCTGGTCTAGTAATGCAGTTTCAGAATACCTGTAAGCTTTAGGAAATTATTTTAAATGGAATTTTTTTTTTTAATATACTTCACAAAATCTCCTAAGTTACCTTTGAATACATAATTTTTTCCTCTATTCTTCTTTGCCGGTCCTCTTCTATTTGCTTATTCAACTCTTCAATCCATTTTCTCTGCTGTTCTTGTTTCACAGCACTGAAAGGACACTCCAGAGGTACTGCTTCCTAAACAAGAGCCATCAACATCTTAATAAAGCTCAGATCTCCTTTTCTAAACTTATTTTATATTTTCAATTTCTGCCAAAGTAATTTATACAGGCTTTAATTGGGTAAGATTTCTCTGTTGTTGTTTTAGATGCTGTTGAATTGGACCCCAACTCACGGTGACCCCATGCACAATGGAACTAAATGTGTCTGGTTCTATGCCATCCCCATGATTGGTTTGTGGATCCACAGGGCTTTCACTGGATGATTTTCAAAAGGAGATTGCCAGGCTTTTCTCCCTAGTAGTCTTAGTCTGAAGGCTCCTCTGAAACCTGTTCAGCATCAACAACATTCAAGCTTCCAATGACAGATGGGTCGTGGCTGCACATGAAATGCATTGGCCAGGAATTAAACCAGTTGCACTTGGGTGGGGGGTGGGGGAAGAAGGCAAGAGTTCTACCAATGAACCACCCAATGTTCCCTATTTATCTTGAAGAAGAATAATAACTTCAAAATAAAAATTCTAATATATAGAATTAAGTAGCTATATTCTGATTCTCAGAATCACATTTATAAAATAAGTAATACAATAAACTATCAAATTGTAAGGAAAGGAAACTTTCTAATGAAAAATAAGTAGAAAAGAATTGCTCCAAAACAATTATAAGAAAAAAAAATTTCAAAATCAAAATACAGCTTCATGCAGAAGTTAAAAAAAAGTTATTGATAATTTAAAACAGATGAATGCTATTTTACATTTGTCTTTGGACTGCCACAAACACTGTCTCTGAACCAAGAACAAGGAGGATGTAAGAGAACAAGAATCTTCCCTGTTAAATCATAGTATCTCTAGCATCCTCTTCTTCCTCTCCATTTCTGCTGCTATAGCCCTATTAGAATCTATGGCATTTTAATAAATGGGGAGGGGTGACGGATATTACCTACAATGATTTCCTGAATCCGGACAATATAAAACAAGAATAAAATAAAAACAGTAACATAAAAGTCTGCTGCTGCCTTAATTTATGAGTTTAATATGCTGTAACAAAAAGGAAAAAATAGTTTACTCAAATTGTCCTGAAATGCAACAGCCAAGCAACTAAGATTTCATTATATAAAATAAGTGCAGGACATAATTAAGAAAACATGATTTGGCAGAATTCTCTAATGGCAATGTACCTCATAATGTTACTTTCAGGCTTTGTTTTTTTTTCCCCAGAAATAACGGAAAAGTTCATAGTTTACAACCTGTTGTTAATGGTGAAAGGATATAGTCATACCAAAATGAAACATCTTATTGTTTTTGATGCTTCTACAAATTTCTATCAGACAAAAACTATCATATTTATTTAAGCCTAAAAGAACAATGTCAAGAGAAGCATTCTCTTTAGGTAAAGATTTAACAATTCCTCCATCCCTATAAATGTTATTTAGGGGGGAGCTCTGGTAGCATAATGGCTAAGACACTTGCCTGCTAACCAGACGGCTGGCGGTTCAAACCCACCAGCCACTCCTCGGAAAGAAGGATGGGCAATCCTACTTCTGTAGTGATATTGCCTTGGAAACCCAAGGAGGGGTCGCTATGAGTCGGATTTGACTCAACGGCGCATAACAACAACAACAACAACAAAGGGACAAAAGGAAAACAAGTACATTAATGAATTCTTTGAGCTTCTTAGAACTTCTCAACAATGCATTTACATAATCTTTTCTACAAATCTGTTTTAAATCTGATGTAACCAATTCTAGTTCCAAATTATAATGGAGTTGCAAATTATTTAGAGATTACACATTAAACTCTATATGTACACAGTAAGCAAAATTACCCTTACAAATTCCTAAAATCATGAAAGATCCATAAAATCATCCATATATATACATGTTTTATGTTTCTGAGCGTTTGCACAATTTTATAATGAGTTGTCGCAATTACCTCTTGAATTTCTTACTCAAGGATGTTTTATAAAGCTACTACCACCTCAATTTCTTGCCATATGAATAATTCAGTGTACTTTTGTCAGTGACTGGGAAACGTTTAAAATATTGTTATATATTCTTTTTCACAAGTTTCCCTCAATGGGCATTCAGTCAGAGGAATGAAAATGCAAGGATTTGGGAGGTGCAAAGAAGTGGAATGTAGAATGGAATCATTCTCTCTCTCTTTTTTGGTTTACTGAGTTCATTTAATTGAAACTGAGGCAAGTCAGATATGTGTCTAATGCAAGACACACTGTATAACAAATGCTGTATTTTGACAATGGTCTAGAGCACCTCCCTTGTACTAATTCTCTGTACAGTTAAGGAAAGAGAGCTCTCTTCCTTGGCTCACTCAAATGTTCTCATTTTATCTTCCTCATAGCATTCATCTGAGATGTCCCTCCCTCTACCTAAAACAATTCCTTTCTACTACTCAATTTCAGTCTACTCTCAAGTGATAGTCTGAGAACTCACTACACTTTACCCCACGAACAGTCCTGAAGTTAAAGGATCCTAATGTTACTCTTACTTATTTTCAAGTTAGTTGATGTTAGGAAATGTTAGTCTTACTCCTAATACAAATGTGTGAATGGCAGCTGTGAATCAGAACTGAAAGTAGAGAGCTTTTCCAAAAGGTCCACTATAGATGCCTGGTTTCATTTCATTCAAATCTCTCCATGAAGCAGTCTTTAGAAATGCTGCTTTGGGAAAGAAGAACACTCAGCAATGACCTTGTCATGTCCAGGTGTCCTGTCTGGAGAGTATTACCAATGACATTCAAGATGATTTCCCTGAGCATGGCCTGTCTGACCCCAGATTCCAAATTCAAAAAGGCATTGTGCCACCTCTCATAGTGGAGCCACACCACGGTCTTTTGGTGGTGTAATTGTACTAAATCTGAGATCCTTGACGAGTACCCACCAAATAACCCTTGGGCCTCAGTCACCCAAGGAAGTCCACAAAATAACTTGAGTGGAAGCAACCACATCCTCATATCTCAATCCCTAGAGGTGAAGTTCCATTTTCTACAAGGCTGTCCCACTACCAGGGCTCCTGCTGGATTCTTCTGCAGTTGTGCATGAACAGCATCACTGGGCCAACTGTTACCTGAACCATGTGGCCACCTTGAGGCCCATTTTTAGTCTGCCAGACTACTGGGTTTCTTGACTGTCCCCATACCCCTGCCAAAGCCCCTGGATTAAAAGTACAACCAGGACTTTGAATGACTCCTTTCTAGGATGGCCACAAGTACTCTCAGTAACAATCCGAAGATGGTAAAGCAGAAAGCAATGGGTAAGGGGAGTTCTAGCAATTCTACCCTCCAGGAAATCTATGAAGAGATTCAGCTCCTCACTTGAGCTAAAACCCAACTGTTCTTAAAAGGCCTGTTGCAGAGCCCTCCAAAAAGGGGGCTGCTTGGCTGTATGAGATTTACTAAGTGAAGAGAAAGCTAGCATGTGCCATTCTGAAGGTCTGTCAGCTAACAGCCATCATCTAGGAAGGTTCCTTCTTAAAGATCCCATGAGTTCCAACCAAGCCACCTAGCCTGAAGGTACCGCCTGTACTAATTACACTCAACTCTCCTCTAATGGGCATTCTAATGGGCCTGGAAAGTGGTTAATCCCAGCATGAGCCTCCTTACCTCCCACAGACTGCTGCTGGGAAACCATGAACAACACATGAGATCTTAGGTGCCAGCTGAGTATGCTGGTGTGGGTGCATGCTCACCAGAGCCCCATTGGTCCTGGTCACAAATGACATAGCCCAGAAGAAGCACACCTGAATCCTGATGCCCTCCAGCTATTCCTCAAAGAGGTACCACACATTTCAAGCCCACTCTTCTAGCCATGATCACATGTGAGCCCACTATCCAGCAGGCCTTGCAGATCCTCACCACCTGTGAAAACCTTCACACAAACCAAGTGTTTGTCAGAATACACGTGCCCGCACACAAATACCAAGCCAGTAGAGGGCCATATTATTTGGGAAATGACACCACGAGCAGACTTCTGCCCAAAAGACCAAAAGGATACTCAGAGAGCACTCTACTGGACCCTTCACAAATAAGTTCTCCCAAACTGGCTCATCTCCAGCAAGTTTCTTCCATTTTTCCAAATGCTACTGAATAGATGTAAGCAACACAGCCATGGCACCCTCAACTCAGCAGCCTAGGACTGTTACTAACTTACAGCAATGACAGGGGCCAGTGCTCCAAAAGGAAACAGATGGTCATCCACCAGGGGCCTCTGTGAAAAATAACTGCTTCTTTACCACTCTTAACAATGATTTGGGGGGGGGGGACTGTAACAAGCAAGGGCGCCCTGGTGGCGCAGTGGTTAAGTGTTTGGCTGCTAACCAAAAGACCAGCAGTTCAAACCCACAAGCTGCCCTTTGTGAGAAAGATGTGGCAGTATGCTTCTGTAAGGATTCACAGCCTTGGAAGGTCTATGGAGCAGTTCTATCCTGACCTATAGTTTGCTATGAGTCAGAATTAACTTTAATGGGTTTTATTAAGAAACATTTCATGGCCCTCTTAGACACCGGAAAGAGCTCTGGTGGCACAGTGCCTAAGGCATCTGACTGCTAACTAGAAGGCTGGCTGTTCAAACCCACCAGCCACTCCTTGGAAGACTGGGCTATCTACTTCCGTAAAGATACCACCTTGGAAATGCAAGGAAGGGTCGCTATGAGTCAGAACTGACTCAATGGCATTAAGTTTGGTTGGTTGGTTTGTTTTCTTAAACATCAGGATCCAGGCGACATTGATTCTTGATTCTTTTAACCAAATTCATGGCGTGCCATTTGACATGGAAGTGGGAGGTAGCCTAATTATCTGTTCTGATGGGTAAGGTTGTGTGTCAACTTTGGCTGGACCATGACTCTCAGTGGTTTGGCAGTTATGATGTAGTCTAGCAGTTAGGTAATGAAACAGTCATCTTCTGCGATGAAATGAGCAGCCAATCAGTTGGAAGGAATTTTTCTTGGTATGACCTGCATCTAATAAATACAGACATTCTGGCAAAGCTCTCTGCCTTTTTGCTCAA